TCTTAAATGTACACGATTCACTAAAGAACTAAACTACACGAATCATGCACTACAGATCCTAAATGTACATGATTCACTACAGATCCTAGATGTAAATGATTCATAAAAGAACTAAACTACGATTCACTACAGATCCTAAATGTACACGATTCACTACAGATCCTACATGTACATGATTCATTAAAGAACTAAACTACATGATTTAGTTCAGATCCTAAATGAACATAATTCACTAAAGAACTAAACTACGCGATTCACTATAGATCCTACATGTACATGGTTTACTACAGTTCCTACATGTACATGATTCACTACAGATCCTACATGTACATGATTCATTAAAGAACTGAACTACACGATTTACTACAGATCCTAAATGTACATGATTCACTAAAGAACTAAACTATGCGATTCACTACAGATCCTACATGTACATGATTCACTATAGATCCTAGATGTACATGATTCACCACAGATCCTAGATGTACATGATTCATTAAAAAACTAAACTACACGATTCACTACAGATCCTAAACGTACATGATTCACTACAGATCCTACATGTACTTGATTCATTAAAGAACTAAACTACACGATTCACTACAGATCCTACATGTACATGATTCACTATAGATCGTATATGTACATGATTCACTACAGATCCTAGATGTACATGATTCATTAAAAAACTAAACTACACGATTCACTACAGATCCTAAATAGTACATGATTCACTACAGATCCTACATGTACATGATTCACCACAGATCCTACATGTACATGATTCATTAAAGAACTAAACTACACGATTCACTACAGATCCTAATTGTACATGATTCACTACAGATCCTATATGTACATGATTCACTATAGATCCTAGATGTACATGATTCATTAAAGAACTAAACTACATGATTCACTACAGATCCTAGATGTACATGATTCACTATAGATCCTAGATGTACATGATTCACCACAGATCCTAGATGTACATGATTCATTAAAAAACTAAACTACACGATTCACTACAGATCCTACAGGTACATGATTCACTACAGATCCTACAGGTACATGATTCACTACAGATCCTACATGTACTTGATTCATTAAAGAACTAAACTACACGATTCACTACAGATCCTAATTGTACATGATTCACTACAGATCCTATATGTACATGATTCACTATAGATCCTAGATGTACATGATTCATTAAAGAACTAAACTACATGATTCACTACAGATCCTAGATGTACATGATTCATTAAAGAACTAAACTACACGATTCACTACAGATCCTAATTGTACATGATTCACTACAGATCCTACAGGTACATGATTCACTACAGATCCTACATGTACTTGATTCATTAAAGAACTAAACTACACGATTCACTACAGATCCTACATGTACATGATTCACTACAGATCCTAGATGTACATGATTCATTAAAGAACTAAAATACACGATTCACTACAGATCCTACATGCAAATGATTCACTACAGTAAATGTACACGATTCACTACAGATCCTACATGTACATGATTCACTACAGATCCTACATGTATATGATTCACTACAGATCCTAGATATACATGATTCATTAAAGAACTAAAATACACGATTCACTACAGACCCTACATGTACACGATTCACTACAGATCCTACATGTACATGATTCACTACAGATCCTAAATGTACACGATTCACTACAGATCCTACATGTACACGATTCACTACAGATCCTACATGTACATGATTCACTACAGATCCTACTTTTACATGATTCACTACAGACCCTACATGTAATACATGTAACACGATTCACCCCTGATTGATTGAAATTGATTGGAAATTGAACTTTACTACACAATGTACTTCAGTTCTTAAATACAAAATTCACTACAAAACCTTACTACACAATATTCACTCCAGAACCTTACTACAGAAAATTCACTACAGAACTTTACTATACAATATTCACTACAGAATCTTACTACACAAAATTCACTCCAGAACCGTAGCATACAAAATTCACTACAGAATCTCACTACACAAAATTCACTATAAGAACCTAACTACATACGATTCACGACAGAACCTAACTATACGATTAACTATACACTTAACAAAACTTCTAAGTGTTCACTCTAAAAAATGTATTTATTTAAAAACTACATGATAAAATGGTATGATATTTTCAAATTAATATAACCAATGAATCTTCTCAACTATTGTCGAAAGATAATCAATTATCACCGATGAAAACCAATGTCCCGTGACGAAGCTTAAAAACAATAAATCTGTGCTTTGCGGCACGTGTTTTGTGTAATCAGCTTATTTTTGTGACCATTATCAATTTTTAACAACTGGTTTAACTAAAAAAACACAAAACATGGCCAAAATGACCATTGAGGAAGGAGGGAGAGCCGTTGGAATGTTGATATCTGGATCATCCTTAAGATACGTTTTACTCACTTTTGTTTTAGTGTTTATTTGTCCTTCATATTACTTTTAAAAATTAACAACCTGAATAAAAATCCATTTAAACACATTTTTCTATAGGTTGTGCGTCATTTTTATCGCCAATTTATCACAGTGTGAAAGCTTTGGACAAAAATTAATCAAACCGGAAGTGATCTGGACGTCTTAGGCCAAGGTTTTGCGTCGCAACCAGGTTAAAAGATTGTTACATGGTCCTGAACCACTTTAGAAACATTTATTTCAAACTTCAATTAATGGTACGAAAATGGCAACAAATTGGTGTTCTTGGAAGTCCAGCATCATTTTAAACAGTCTGAATCATCCTTAAAGAGGTACACTTATGTTCGAGACGCCCAAGGAGGGTCTTAGTGTTGACCAAAAGGCTTCTCTGTGATGCAGTGGCCTGCCCAATCCCCGGATCTGAATCTCATTGAACACATTTGGGACTTTTAAAAGGAATGTCAAAGCCCCCCCCCCCGCCCTTCACACAATTTCAACAGTTTAGATAGATCTATGCAGTAGGTGGCAGATACGCCAACCTCCTGTTCAGGGGTACATGGAATCCATGAGAAAAGGATGTCTTGCAGTAATTAGAGCGAGTCGTGGTCTTACGCCATAGAGATTATGTTATGTGAATTTTCATTTTGAGGGTTCATCATGTCCTTGACACTTTGCTTTAAAGTCTGACGAGATGCTTACATGAAATTTATGCAACATCGAACTGAAATAAGCATCATTAACCATGAATTAAAGAAATTATTTATTGTATGCATTTGTTCTTTATAACTTAAAAATGTTAGGTGAACACTTAGAAGTTTGGTTCAGTGTAGATCACCCGTCTTCCTATAATAACCTAACTTCATTTTATGATTCACAAAGAATCGTTTTGTATGTTTTTTATGGAGAATCGTGTATGTCTCACTATAAAAATCATCTCTATGATTCTATGTTCTACTTGGTATATAGGACACTAAAAATATATGCGTTTATAGGTTGAATTTCAGGTTAAGCGTTTCCTTATCCTACATAATACATTGGACAGAGTTTTAGTCAGAAGTCAGCATTAAGAAGATCTCTTGTATTCTGATTGTAAGATAAAATTTTATGTGTATGGATTAGAATTGTGGCACTATTGATCTGTACATGTATATTGATTGGAATGGCATGTTACCGATTTTATCCCTGGGAATTTATGGTCTCGCAAGTATGACAAAGTTGATCTGTAACTTAAAGAAAATGATTTTATAAATGCTTTGAATACTACATGTACTTTAGTTTACAGCAAAATCTCTCTCTTCCTATGGCATATTTTTTTTCTTGAAAATTGAGAAAAATATCAGTTATTGCATGTATCTGTAAGTTATACAGGAAAAAGACAAAATCAATACAAATACCAGAAAGTGCGCTGTAAGATTAAATACACATGTATACATAGCATAGGTACTGCGTGTTGACAGGATCATGTAATTGGTTATGTGTAGTCTTTTAATGTATCGATACAGGTGGGTATAATAGGACTGTTATGTGCAGGTAACAAGGCGCCGTTATCTGATCTGTCTTTTATTACACGTTAACACCACGGTGATGAGACCCCCGAATACCGGAGATGATCGTTATGGGTGGCTGCTGGAATTTCCAGGTAAGAAACCCGGTATGAGGGGGGTGGGGTGGGGGGTTGTTCAAATACGCTCATTTTAAGTTTGTCTAGTGGTCGTAAATAAAATGTCCTAATATATTCAAAAACGGAAAGATGTTCCGTGGATTTTGTGATTTTCTAGTTACAATACTAATTAAAATCCCACTAGAAGTAAAATGCAAGACAAGGATGTCCCCGTCTTTGGCCTATTTTTAGATTTTTTATGTGAAATTTTATTTCACACAATGAAATTCCGAAAATTGCAAAGTTATGTGTGTAATAATAAATTTAATAAGAAAATTTTTTGATAAAAAAATTCTTTTCCTCCTGCTAATTCTGAGCCATATTTTACAATACAATATTTTACAAATACAAATTTACGGTTACAGAGTATTGCCTCTACAAGTAAATTGTCCACCTTTGGGAAAAGAAACCTCTGATTTCCACCTATTGTTGTTTGAACACTGTCAAATATTTGCATGAAATTAAGAGACACAGAGTTGGGCAAATATTTCTTTACCTCCTTTTAATTTGTTTTGAATGTGATGACTGTGCGTTAGAAGTTTAGTCCTCGACAAGGATCAAAAGCTCCGTGTCCCTGACTACAAGCTGATAAGACCGATATAAAAAAAAAATAATAAAATACTGTATCACCAACGGATCTCTGGTGCTGACCATACACAAATAGGTGTCTTCTGACAGAGAACGGTGTTAAATATCTGAAACAATGGATAGACGATGGGAAAGATCTCATATACAGATATAACTGTTTATTAGTTTTACAAAACACTTATATTGGAAGTGCCCCCATACTGCAATGCACGCCTGTTATAGGCCTACCTCTTCTTTATGTATCTACGTTTTATTTTGATGTTACTTGTATTGATACAGGCTTTATCTTTTCCACTTTCACAGCTATAACATGATGTAAAGTGAAGTTATGGAAGTGCGAATATTACGGCATAATTACCTTCCGTCTCTCTACAGACAGACGACAGAAAAACTTCCGCTCACCCGACTGCGGCGGGAAATCGACCTAACGATGAAAAAAGTTCTCCAAACAGAGATTCCGGTCTCTCCAGTGGCCAAAGAATTGTTTGATCAATGTATGTCTCACCTGCTCCAATATCTGAAAACCAATCAGTACAATTTAGACTGTTCAGAGCCCCCTGTCTATGCAGGGGATGTGACGCCTTGGACTCCCTACAAAAAAGAGTGTCCATGCTACCTGATTCAAATGAAAGTGGGAAAACTGGGTGGAACGTACGTCGAACCGGGATATGTGGTTTTTCCACTGTCGGTCAAAAAGGACAAAAAAGTTATCAAAGTGTATAAACTCGACTTAAGATCTGATGATAAACAACATTTAAGTCCTAAAAAAATGTACAAAGCAGTTTTTCTCGTTTTCGAAGCTGCTATAGTTAAACTGAAGAAGTCGTTGGCAAAAAGCAGAAGTACACTGACGACTGCTAGCTATCAATCGACAGAAACTACAAAGGTAACGAAAACTGACAAACCAGCTATTGTACCAAATATTTATCTTAAAACAAGAGATAAGGACCTTTGTCTTGTGATGTCACTTCCGGGAGGGAACGAGGTGGAGTTAATTCCTACCATCACGGTGTCTCCAGATGGACCCTTTATTGTTGCCAAGCCTTTTGAGCACGATGAAAATCCGGCTTCAGATATGTTGTGGCGCACAAACTTCTCTCCGAACGAGGAGCATATATTGAACGCTGTCACAAATGGGGATCGCGAGCAACGAATTAATGCCGCCAAAATATTAACGTTTATGTGCCAAAAAGAATGGAAACTTAACCATGTGACGGCATATCAGGTAAAAAATATACTTATGCACGAAATAGACTTTCAAATTGACCATTCTCCAAGATGGCAGCGATTTACTCCAGAAGAATGCATGCACTTAATTTTGTTGAAAATGCTCGAGTTTTCCAGGGAACGATTTTTGCCTCACTTTTTCGAAGAAGACCTTAATCTCTGGGGACATCTCACAGACAGACAGTTCCGATTTATGTGTAATGAACTTGAGCAACTCACGCGAGACGACGATGAGATGTTGAAAGTCATCAGTCGAATCAGAGTAGACAAAATAGATTACTAGATTTAATAATGTATGTTTGAAATATCACACAATTAGGCAGCACTTCTTGCTCTATAATTGTCTTTCATAAATCTTTATAAATAAACTCTTCCTACTCATGTAACAATATTGAATAATTGCTTGTTCGTCATTGAAATGATATTTGCTGCTTCCTTGGAAGAAATCGTGAATTGTAATGAAAGTAATATAGGCAATAAAACAAACAAAGATGTCAGAATGTGTCTGATTGGATTGGTGATTCTTCCTACATTTTTTCCTATCTGAATAAACATGGTCCAACATACATAAACGATAGCAACACCAGAGGTATCATCCCTTTAAATTAAGGTGACGGACAACGCTTATTTGTACACACACTGTTGCAACTCCACCCATGCAAAGAATTCCTGGATCCACACCTGAACATTTGTCCTTTATTCTTCTGCTCAAACAATACAAATGATTTCCACTTCCCATGTGACCGAGTATAGGTCTTTTATACTGTCTTCCCACAATTATTATTATTATTTTTTTTATTAAAATTAGGGATGTCAATTTTGTCAATAATTCATATTCGAATATTCAATGAAAGTTTTCGAATATTCGATAAAATAAAAAAAAAAATCTGGTTATTTTAAATGTACATCATACTTTCATGGCAGGTTTTGCGTCGGTATTTGGGGGTAAAATTGGATGTAGACTTTTGTAGGTTTACAATAAGGAATTCTACATTTGATATTTGTCAACGTTTAAAATAAATAATTGATTTAAGTGTATACAACCGAAATATAATTTTAACAAAATGATATCTAAACAAGCTCATACTGACAAACCAGTCGTCTAACCAGGGGCAAGATTGTCGTTTACCCTTCAGATTTAAATACATGTAATTAATTACAATTATCTGCTAAATAGGAGATATATTATAATATTTGATACAATAATTTGAAAATAATATAAGTAAACATTTCCATAGACAATTTTCCTAGGTCATTAATTTCCCGATAATGATTTTAAAATTTTAAATTCAATCTGAGATAATCAAGTAATTGATGCATTATTCAGGAAATTGAGGCCTGTACAATATTACAGGCTGATTCTATCAAAGATAGATAAATAAAAGAAAATAATCTCATAAGTACACTCTTCACGTCTCTTAGACATTGAAGAAGGGTTTCATTTCGTTGTCGTCGATTCTAGATCCGATCATTTTAAACTATTGAAAATACTTTTTATATTATACATTAATAAGTCTTGTTTATTTCTTTTATACCTTACTCAAATGAAATAATTCAGAAGATCTATAAGGTAAGAAAGTAGCGAAAGAAATCAGGGGATCGCTAGTAAATAAAACGGGAATAATTCCAGCACTGTTCTAATTAAAATTTATTTCCCTTTTTTGTGAAATCTGAAAAACACCGAATATTCGAATCTTAAATTCATATTCGAATATTAACTCATCGAATGAATATTCGAATGTTCGAATATTCGTTGACATCCCTAATTAAAAAAGAAAATTCAAATAGTCATAACTCAAATTTTCTATTTTAATAAAAAAAATTGTGGGAAGACAATACCAATTGTCGAATGATAATAGAATCCGTCGATATGACGATTGCTCCATTTTCAGCTGATCATCAATTTAACAAGTAGTATACATATTTGTAATTTTAACCATTTTGAAATTATTAGAATTAATCTGTGGTGAAATCACAAAATAGTAACAACAAAAAAAAAAGAATTGTTTATTCCTTCAATTTTAAGATTAAATTTTTCAATATTTAGATTTTTTACTGACATGAATTACTAACTCGCGCTGAGTAAATGAATGCGCTTCGTCAAAAACAAACAAACCAGATTAAAACAAAAACAAACATACACAGAAACCTTATATCGTCTTCTAGTAAACCAAATCTTTTTCCTGTAAAAATAAAACAAACAAACAAACGAGCCAATAAGAATAACTTAAAATAACTCCCCGGATCATCTAAATCAATTTTGTACACCAGGGATACATGGATATATTGTAAGTTGGAAACATATTACGTAATGTGATAGGAGTTTGAGCACCTGCAGATAAAGGTGTGGAGTCCACGATAAAAAGGAACAGCTGCAAGTCTTTCTATAAAAGCAGTGTTACGTTTAATGAGAAAAAACAACACTTCTTATTCCCATCTACTGCACAATGTTACTCCTAGCTTTTACACTGTGCCTTACGACGGTTACAGCAGCCCCGAGCCAAGTCTGCAAAGAGGCCTTCCATAACGCAGGGATTTCAGGCAAATACAACGAAACAATAGCACATGCTATTCACTCTATGACGGTGGAGGGTCTGCGGTTGTTTAATCCAATGGCAACAGAGCAGAACAAAGTTCCCACTGTGAACCAAGACCTGTCACAAAATCAGAAAGTGCTACCCTACGCTCCACATTTCCACATCTCCACAGACTTTGCTACGCCCACGATGAACATGGTTGACAAAATACTGTCCACTGTGGGGAACTCCAAAGACGGGCTTGGGCCACACTGGTCGTCTGTTGAGAGAATAGCACACATTTTTCACATGTGGGATCTGTGGCAAAAGGTGAGACCAAATTGTAAGCATACACAAAGCTTCTTTTTTATTACAAGATAATAAGAAATCAAGCAAATTTGTTTCACTGAAATCGAAGGCTAAAGTGGGCTTATATTTTTGGTAACCAATATGGTTTTTCTAAAACATTCGGAATGTTATCCTTCGCTAAAGCATTCTTATTTCTATATTCATTAAAAAGAATTGATCCAAAGTAGCAGAAGTCAAATTCTGAATTTTGTGACTTAATCTTGCTTGAACAGTTTACCAGTAATCTGCAATTTCTTATTACATGTATTATAAGCAATTGCTTTAAAGATTTCATTGTTCAGATTTGTGCATAAGTTTTACATTCCATTTTTTTTAAAATTTAATTTTAGCAGTTGCTAAAGTCTTATTCATGTAGGTAGAATTAACCTTAAACAAGGTTAGATGATTAGCTTTGTGGTCCATGGGCCTGCTTTTGTTCCATTGCGATTTTCCTTTAATTGCCATTCTGAGCTACGTATATTTTGTTAAATATTTTCATAGTTTCCACCCAGTATGCTTACACTCGATGTAAAGTTTCTCCTCAATTATTTATTAGTTCTCGTTTTTCATGAGAAATATCCATCTTACACTAGACAAAATTGCTAACACACCATCAAAGGAAATTAATCGTTACCTTTTTAAAATTTATTTAAGACGTATCTGATATATAAATATGTAACCATGATTAAAAGTAAAATGCTTAAATAGCCAAACATACATGTAGATGGTAACTGAAGCATTTCATAAAAATGCATGTAAATCGTGCTTACACATTTCAGAGGAATAAACTCCCATATTTGAAATTGTGTTCTTTCTTTGCATTCATTAAAAACTCAGAAAAAACATGACTGGGTAGGCAGCGTTTGATCATAGAGGAGCTTGTTAGGGCAGTTGGTATGATATCTCCATGATGTTACTTTGGAGATGTTCGTTTTAAAAATAAAGCAATTCAAAAATTGTTGCTTTTATTGGTTGAAAAATACTTTGAGTAGATTAAGGAATGTAAATATGTCTGCTGTGTAAGCATGACATTTAATACACACCACACGACTCTTGCAAGATTGTACAGTAAAATTGTGACAACCGGAAGTGTGATGGACTTGGTACGGATGTCATAGCATTAAGTGACTACTAGGGTTACTACGTTCGACATTTTGCTTAATATCGTTTGAGAGGTAGGGTCATCCTCGCTATTTTAACCTCTCTGATCACCATCGTTAACCGCCAACCTTATATCAGTGCTTAAAAGGTGCGCAACTAGTCATCTAAGGGTGTTGAAATAAAAACATTAGCATATTCGACTGCAGTAGGTAATCTATAGTGACTATAGATACATGTATACTCGTATCGACGAGGCAGATGTATTTGCAGATGAAAATATTGAGTGCTGTGTTAGCAATTTTGTCTTGTGTATACTAGTTTATTAAATCACAGCCTAGAATTCTTAATGTTTGATTTCTTCATCAGATTAAGTACAAATATCATTATTGTATGGTTACCCACAGATCTACGAGACATCGTGGCAAGACGTTTTGGTCAACCCCCCTGAGCCCACTACATGTATTTGTCTGAAGGACACCCGAGCTAATGGCATAAAGGCAGCCGTGGAGTGGGTGGCAAAACACTACGAAACGGGTACCCCTATTACTCTTCTGAATCGCCCGATCCCTAAACTGACAGACGCCCAAGCCTGGTCAGTGTGGAAACAACGTCTGCTTCACTACTACACACCAGAGGCCCTCCATGACGCCGCTGTCTACCTGTACTGTGTTTCACACAACTAATACCATCCAAAATACCAGACAAACACATTTTAGTTTATGTCTATAAAATAAGCCTACAATACAAATGAAACAAGTGTTTTTCTTTCATACTTTAGAGAAACTGTTTCAAACATTTGTTTCCATTTCCTATTTTCTCTCCAGCTTTGGAACCATTTATTTACGTGTTCCTCCAAGGCACCAAGACAGTCCGGGAAGCTGAATGAGTAAATAACATTTGTCTGTGTGTCTGTCCTTCTGCCGAGGACTTCCACGTGTTGGACGACTTGTAGATTCCCCATACTTTCAAGACTCTCAGAGTCAAACCAATACACAACAGGGTACCCAATTAGGAGACCAAACACGGTGGCCAGATTTACATGGTTATCTCCTTTATACGCAGTAGCTACTCCGTCTTCCATCACGAGAGAAAAACACGTAGAAATCACATGTTCCAAAACATCATTTTTTTCTATTATCTTCGGAGTATCATTTGTTGACGATATATCAACAAATTTTACCACCATCGATTCGGAGTGCAGCTTGACGAATTCTTCTGGATTAATAATAAGATAATCCATTCCTACCGCCACGGCCTTTAAGTTGTTCTGAATGAGATTATAGCATTTCAAGTCACTCACAAGGTTAACTACAGACTCTAAAGTACTTACTCCAAAGTCCACTAAAAAGGCCGGTTTAAGTCCAAAATCAACAAACTGAATGTTCGATTTAATTTCACTTGATCTGTGTTTTAATTTACTCCCTAAATGCGTACTGATCAAGTTCATCCAAGGAGCACTGGTATCCATGTCCTGAAAATCTGTATTTAAAAAAAAAGTTTTATAGAGTACACTTAACTTTATTAGCACGGCCGGCAAAAAAGACACATACATGTACATACGTGAGCAATTCTCTACATGCACCTACATTATCCAGCTTCAGACAAATTTCTAGCATACTTCGCCTCGCCAAATGCGGATTTCCATTTCACACCCTGTTTAAGTGTCACTAACTAACTTTGTTATACCTTTAATCATTGTTTCCAATATACCGTAAATCTATACATCTCCAATGTTTTTCTGAGCGAGAAAAATTCGATGTTGGATGTTGGACTGCTAAATGAGATATTGGACTTGTAATTTAGATATTGGAACTGCTTTGACGTTTTCTGTTTGTTTTTTTTTTTTTTGGTTTTTTTTTTTTTTTTTGGTTTTTTTTTTGTTGTTTTTTTTTTTTTTGTCAAAATGTAGGCGGGGTCAGCTTAATCTTATCAATTATCGCAAACAAGGAAGCTAGCGCAAGTTATATATCAAAATAAAAAGTTAAGGAGGGATTCTTGGCTGGTTTCTGACTAGATAAAATATTCAAAGTATATTTGCTTATATCTCTTATATATTTAGATGTAAGGGATTTAAAAGATCATATTTTTCTTTCCTCATCATAATTGTACAACTTTAAATAGAAATGGTAAACTGAGTTTGAAATCCAACAGGGACTATATTTTTGGCGGAACGGTGGCGTACGAAAATATCTCCTTTTCTGCTTCTCAAAATTACTATAGAACAATGAATTTAGTTTTAAAAAATTAAACAATCAAAGACTTTATGAAAATTTCAAATGTAAATAAATCAATAATAATGGACTGGGGTTTTAAAATGCATCAAATAAATATGGTTTTCCAAACAAACTGCAATTTTGTTGGTTTTAAAAACTTCCACTCTAAATACAGATTTGAGCAAAAAATCCGTAAAAAGTGTTTTTTCTCTCTTAGTAAACGGTCAAAACTTTTTGTTTTTGTATCAATTTGTATCTTTATATGACTACTTTACCATACGTGAAAATGAGAAAAATTTAAATATACGAAGGATATAAAAATAACTAATATATCCTAAAAATCTAGGAAAAACAGAGGAAATTTGGATTAGCCAACATCTATTTTAATTAAATTATTCATGTCAATTTGGTAATATCACCTAATAGACCATATATGGTAATATCTTTTTATGCAAAAAGAAAAACATTTAATCTTTTGAAATAGAAGTAGCCATGGCATGATTGGCAACAGTAATTTTTTATTCTTAAGGTCAAGGAAAAAGATAATGACCTTAACCTGACCTTGCTTTTAAAATAAAACGGTCAAATTTAATCTAATTGATACCATCACTTAATGATAATGTCTTCTTGAATCGATGAAAATTTCATTAATTTTTAAATACAAGAAATGTGAGAAGAATCCCTCCTTAAAGGTACAACAAAACATTTATTGACTGTGTTCTCGGGGAACTTGCGTTTGTCGACCCCTCAAACCGAACTGTTTGCCTTCGGCCTCTGACAAACAGTTTGGTTCTTCGGTCCGACAATATGCAAGTTGCGCTCGAACCCAGTCAATAAATGTATATAGAGTAACCAGTAATATTACATCAGAATTGAAAAGCACATATTCATAAAAACAACCCCTACTCTAAAAAAAAAGAGAAATAAAAATGAAAGCATTAATAGATTAGAGATGTTTGGTCGTAGCTCTTATAGGGCCAACTGACCTTTTATTAGATGCAGATTTGTAGCTCACTAGTCTGAAAATAATTTTGATAGACATCCTTGTCAATGAACATTTTGTCGCCCTGCGCATACTGTCGCAGAATACAAAATGTATTCCCTCGGGGAATAGTTCCTGTCGCGGGTTTGGATGAGTATATTAATTATTTATCTTTTTTTTTTGAACGAAAGAAAAACAAAACAAATTAAATCAAGTGTTGATCAAACTTTGTCAGTAACATTGAATACTTACGTATCTTATATTTGCACAAAAAGGAGCAAATCATTAATTTTAGGGCGGTAATAAAGTGTCTTTGTTCCTTCGACACTTGGTAGCTGCAATGGGTTTCCGTATGTGATCTTCCATAATCTCACAACCGGCCAAATGGGGACACCAAAGATGACACTTTTGAACAATGATCAAGAGAAAAAAAATGCAAATACGGTTTCAGGTCAATGTCCAAATAATAAACATCATCAAAATTACTTGTAACTTAATACATAAACATTATATATACGCTGTATAATTCAAGTGACGAAGCACTTGTGGTCATGCTTCAAACCTACGGTAGACCATTCGGGAAACATTTATTCTGCTTTTTTGCTTGCAGTTTTTGACATAAAACAGTCTCTCTCCTTGTAGATATTTAAGAAAATCCAATGTAATTTGGTCATCCATAAGATTAGTTAGAATAATCTAACTGTATCTCGGGACAAGCTCTCACCACAGTTAGAATACGTCCCATATACTTGCAATGTAGCAAATCGGAGTGGATCCACTCCGAAATGTTTTGAAGAATACAAAAGGAGTTGCACTGAAAATAACTACCAAATTAATCATAACAAACCTTTTTGAGATGGTATATGTCTTTTAACCTAAAAAATAATCCATATAAATACGAAAACCCAACTCATTTTCTCAACGTTTTTTCCTCGCTTCAAATTTAACGCCATGTTGACATTCGGAACTCTCTGGATTGTTCATAGAAAATGCACAGAGTACGAGTTATCGCCCGTGTTTATTTTGCAACATTGCCAATACATGGAACGAATTCTATCGTTAAACCGGGTCCGTAGGACAATATCATTTTAACGATAGAATGTTCTATCTACCATAAGATAGGTACTCCGTAGGATAAAACCAGAGACTTCCATTCCGCGGTCTCTGGTTTTATCCTACATTTATAGCCCCAACCGGAAGTTTTTGTATCGCTTCTAAAGTCTTAATATGTATCGAGGTAATTTTCGATGAATAAATGAGTGGTTTACAACAAAGAGGCTCGACCAGAGACGTCTGAAAGGATTTATTTGTCAAGGAAAAAGTCACTCGAAGCGGACGATGTCATTTCAAAGTGGGTTAATGATTGACATATTAACAAAATATGAGCTTGAAGGGGGGAGGGGTGAAATTGAGTTAGGTACCTTGTGAAAAGAAAAAGAAGGGGTTGACCCCATATATGAATCAAGTACCTGCGATTCCAATCCACCGAAAAATAAAGGTTCTGAACACATTCATATGGGTTTGTATTCGAACACAGACCTGAAGCAAAGGCTTCGCTTCAGGTCTATGATTTGAATTAGCTTCACATGGAGTATTGGTTAGGGATTTGACCAACTTGCATTATTTCGTGTAAACTCTCAGGGATGCCTTTTAATGCTGTATAAATTTAGAGGTATAATAACAAAAAGCTTAGTGCAACATGTCGATGGTCAAATATATCTTTCAATGAAAAACGAAGAAAAATTATATTATGCGCTACAAAATGTGTCATATGTTTATCTGCTCTTCATGGGTTACCGTTTAAGCCCAAATACAATCAGAGATAAAAAGTTTATTTACCTTTAGCAGCAGGTGGACATATAAACAACACAGGCAGTGTTTCGGAATGAGCGCTAATCGTCTTTCGGAATTCTATGACAAGATCAGGAATGATCTGGATAGAACCGTCCAATTCTGGAGACAGCATTCAAAGGACGAGGAGTATGGGTAAGGATTCCCGCCTTACTTTGTTGTACCTAAATTATTGTTTTCGATTCCTATCTGACAGGCAATAGTTATATCTTGTAGAAGACGCAGAGTATAAGTCAATCAAAATTAGTGTCAGATATTGGTACATTTCAGCATACAAAACTTGTTTATTAGCTGGATTGAGATGTTTTCAACCTGTTTTCCTTTACAGGGGATTTTTCAATTGTCTAAGTAAAGAAGGGAAGGTGTATGATGATACCAAACATGTCTGGCTACAAGCAAGACAGGTATGATGTACAACTATCAATATCTAGAGATACAACTTATTTGAGTTTTGGCGCTAGACAGTAATAATGAAATAAATTTACGAATCTTTTTATAAAGTGAAATATATTGATCGATTCGAAATTCATCTACCCACAGAAGTAGGTCACAATCAGTAATAACAATTTTCTCGGGAATAAATAGTGATCTACATTCCTTCCTGGCATGTTGGTACTTGTTAAATGATTCTGGTCTTCTTAATGTAGGTCTGGATTATATATCTGTGTTGTATTTGAGCTGTGTTTTGTATTGTACGACTGGATTATGTCTATGTGTTCTATTTGATCTGTTTTTTGTATTGTAGGACTGGATTTTGTCTATGTGTTCTATTTGAACTGTGTTTTGTATTGTAGGTTTGGATGTATGCTCGATTGTACAATGAGGTAGAAAGGTTCAAAGATGAAGATCTACTACAACAGGCTGTGAAAGGTATATATTGTACCAACACTAAGGTGAAGTGAATGTAGCAGTTGTAACCCTCACTCATTTTTTGCAACTTCTTGGGATTGTCACCTATCAAAAACTCAGTTACACATCCAGAATTAACAGTTTAAAAGTTCAGAAAATCCAGTGTAAGTTTCGGTAAGACTTGCACTTCTTTGCAGATCTTTTAAATCGGCAGAGCAAGTTTTTAGGGTATCTTCTGATATCCATGTTTTCATATGGTTATATTATAGAAGTTTAATTATAATTTTGTTCAGGGACATGACAGACAATTGCTAAACAAGCAATAAAACTAACTGGTAATTATATATTAGTTTTTTTCTGACACACAGGTGAGCTAAAAATAAAAATAATAAATTACTGCCTCTCAAGCAGGTTCCACTGAAAAATATATTTGATTAACAAGTTTAATCACTTTGTAAACCATATTACACTCGAGCAACCTAGTATTTATGTGAATTTGTAACATATTTCCATTTTTTACAATTCGGTTGAGATCAGTTTAATTTCGATCGGGATTGGTCCAAATTTTAAAATTAACATTTTTCAAAAAATTTCGTATTTCCATTTCAATTGTCTAGCATATATCCTTCCAAGCTTTGATTTATTGAAGATTTTTTCTGCAGGTTTAAAAAATATTAACAAATACGTATTCATGTCTCATAAGATATTTATGCTATGATCACATAGTGAATATGCACCAATTCTTAAATTAATAAAAATCTATCTCTCTCTCCCCTCCCCTCCCCCCCCCCCCCTGTATATTTAGCATACAAACTAAGTGTGTGAATTTCACAACTTAGGTAAAGGCACACTTGCTCATCAAAACTGTATTACATGTATATCATATGAATATAGAGATATCCTGAAAACAAGCAGGAAGGAGGTGGGAATATTTATTATACACTGATTTTTTCATGCATGTAGCAATCCTTGAAAGAGAGCAACAATTCAATTAATAAAGAAATCATTATTTAAAGATGTTGAAGTTATCACTAAAATTATTCCTCTCTGGCATTGAAATTAATTCATGAAATTACTCAGAATTATAAATAATTTGTTGAAATGTTTTAAAAATTTACTATAGCTAACACATGGTCATTTTGCATAATTAGTGTCAAGTTTAAGCCTCTTTGCATGTACGCATTTCAAAGTTAGTTGAAGCTGGTGGTATTTGCTTTATCAATACTCTTGGAATGCTTGGTATAGTGTCATTTATTTTAGGTGCTGACTTTCTCCTAGAAAATGTAAGAGATCCGAACACATACAAATGCTCCCTGATTATCACCCGAGATGGAAAACCAATCAAAATCCAGAGAACTCTCTTCTCTGAATGTTTCTACCTGATGGCTATGTCTGAGGTTGCCAGAGCAACAGGGATAGAAAAATATAAGGTGAAATTTAATTTCAAACTTCATTCAATCTTTACCTTTTTATACAACTACTATGCAGGTCTGATACCCTTACCTTTTTGTAGAAAGAAGCGATCACAATGATGGAGAAGATAAGAGGTTGGATTCAGAGTCATGGGGAGGGTTTGGGGTTTCCCAAGCTATCTGGTGTAAAGCCCAGGAGTATGCTGGCTATTGCAATGATGACACTTTGTATCATAGATCAGCTCAGAACAATGGACCCAAGCCTGAACTATGATGATCTGAAGAAATGGGCACTAAACGATGCATTAAAGCATGTTCAGGTATAAAAAGTGTATACATATTATCCAACATTCAGTATAAAGTGAATGCTTATTCTTGTATTCTATAGACTGCAAAACATCTGTCTGTTTTTGTGGTTTGGACTACAGCTGAGGGAAGCTTATTGACAATAGATCAAATGATACTGGTAGTGTGGTCCTCACGGGAAATAATCCATCCCTTCCTATAAAGCATTTGTAAAGCTCAATCATTCTTGAATACATATCTTTTGAATTATGCTTACTCAAAATTAATTGTATTTTATCTTAAGAGGAATGGCACTGTCATTCTGGAGACCACGACTAATGATGGGAAGGAGATGTGTGGAAGTGCAGGGCGGCTGATGATACCAGGTACTAAATAATAAAATACATCTCATATTGTCAAATCTAAAACAAGTGTGAATTTCAACTGTTTATTGTAGGTCATTCCATTGAAGCTGGGTGGTTCCTCTTAAGTGAAGCCACTCGTTCTGGTGATGATGATCTGAAGAAGGTGGCAATAACCAGCTTTATTGTGCGGCCATTTGAGTATGGCTGGGACCAGGAACAAGGCGGTCTGTTTTACTTCCTAGATGTAGATGGCTGGTGTCCAGTACAGCTGGAGTGGGACATGAAACTTTGGTGGGCCCACAACGAGGCTCTTATCGCCTTCCTTATGGCATACAAGGAAACTAAGGACCCAACTCACCTGGAAAAATTTGCTCAAATATTTGACTACTGCTACTCACATGTAAAACATTAGCCACATCATACAGTTTCATACAAGTTAACTACCTCTGGGATATGCGTAATCTGTTACAAATTTATGCTGCGGTTCATTCCTGAAATTTTTGTATTTTTTAAATACATGTAATTTCATTTTTATCTGCAGTTTGTTGACAAGGAAAATGGGGAATGGTTTGGCTACTTAAGAAAAGATGGTTCTGTTAGTTTGGATTTCAAAGGTGGACCATGGAAAGGTACAAAACAATGGTGCCCATTAGATGCTCAGGAAACTGTTGCTTTTAAATTTGGTGTTATGTAATAAAAGTTTGATAGATGTACATTAATGTATTTCCTTTGTAGGCTGTTTTCATGTTCCACGATGCCTGATGATGTGCGAGAAAATGCTGGAAGAACTCCTTGAAAACAAAAACTGAAATTCTCTCTTAGTCCCTTTTGAAAATTATGTTGTTTGTACACAAGACTTGATTGATGATTATCATATACAGAAGATGCTGCTAAGTGTTAAAAAAATGTATAAAGCACCAAACTACTGTTTATAATGTAATGATTTATTGATGGTGAATAATAGGTCCACATGTTATGTGACAGGACATTGCATATACATGCAATATCTGAAATAAAAATAACTGAAAACCATGTTTGTTAAAAAAAATTCTCTACATTCTGACACATTTAGTCAGATGTTCTCCATTCTGACACTTTTAGTTGCTCTCCATTCTGACACTTTTAGTCATTTGCTTGACATTCTGACACTTTTAGTCAGTTGCTTGACATTCTGACACTTTTAGTCATTTGCTTGACATTCTGACACTTTTAGTCAGTTGCTTGACACTTAGTCAATACATTATCAGAATGGAGAGCAACTAAAAGTGTCAGAATGGAGAGGAACTAATTTTTCAATGTCTGATTTATATATATATAAACATGGTTCATTATTTCCCAATTTTGCTAATTCCAAGACAAAAATATTTCGAAGATGTTGGTAAAGAAATTCCAAGCATGTTCATATCAAATATTTTTTTCCCCTTTTATATACCTTCATTTTTATGTAAAAATTTGATCTATCATTGCAGCCCCAACCATGGTCTGCGGGCAATGATTTAATAAAAAATTGAATCTCCAGTACAAAGGGATGTATGTACAGTTGAACTTTGGTACCTGGAACACTAATATTTTGAATACCATGGATATGTCAAGTGATTTAGATGTCTCAACCCCTTATTCTATAAGTATTCTACAAAGGATTGAAGCTTTTCTAAGTCTCATTGAATTGAGTTAGAGATAATGAGGTTTGACTGTATATTAGTATTACCAATTATAACTTTTGTGTTCTTGAGTAACAGTAGATTTCTTTGGAAAAGCTTTAATAAAGAATGTGAACAGACAGATTGACAAACTAGGAGCAGAAAAAACTAACATGAGCTTTTCAATCAGGAGAGCTAAAAATACTAAAAACTCTTTGTTTAAAACTGAAGTGCTCATTCTCAATTTAACTGTTAGTTTTATATCTAAAATAAACAGCAAACAGAATTCATTGCAGTTATTCCACAGATATGAATATGTATTACTTCTTCATTTTTCTAATCTGTAGAACACGGTTGTACACATAGTACTTGATCTGCTGCCATGTGCGATTTTGGAGGGCTGAGCTGCACCTGCGTTTCACACGTAGACAGTCCAGTTTTCCAGGGGTCTCACAGTTAGTAATGAACTTATGCATGTTTTTTTCAACAGCGCAGACCTCCAGTTGATTCCAGGGCTGCTTGTTTGTACTCTTAGCCACCACCTTCCCCATCTTCCCTGTAACACAATGCATATAGCTTCATTAATTACATACATTAATGTGCATCTCAAGGATTACTTTTAATTTATACCATTATATTCAAGAAAGTTAAATAAGAGTCATCCAATCAAACTATTCATAGATGTACAATGCATGTAAAATTGGATTAAACAGTTCACTTAATATTATGATAAATTGACCTTATTTTTGTATCTACAGTGGAGCCTCATTTATCTAGACGCTATGGTTCCCAGTCAAATTGTCCGGATATGTGAAGCATCCGGATACTTGAATTGCCTTGATTTTAGTTATATGACCTTAATACCATTGGCAATAGTGAAGAATGCTGCTTTAAATCAATGTTTTATTGTTTAAATACTTTAATTTATACGTTAGTACTACTGAATACTTGTTTAAATAAAATAAAAAAGTAAATTTTCATTGGATGAAATGTTGTTTATATGGTCACATTAATTATTTCTACTTCCCAGTGTTTAATAAATCAACTTCTCCAAGCCAAGTGTTTGTAGAGCTGGTAGAGAAAGAAAACGTTCTGTCATTAGAGTCTTATTTAATATGAATGCCAATCAATGCTAAATGTGAAATAAACTGCACATGTATATGTACCCTAATCATAATCATTCCAAGCGAGATCCTATTAGTGATTGTGCCCCATACTTCTGAAAGTGATTTATAATGTCATCAAATTACAGAATCTGTTTTGCGTATTAAACACTGTACATGAAAAGCTCCGATGTCATGTCTGTAAGTAGCAAATGCAATACATAAAACCATTTACGACTGTACTCTAACAGTAAAAGAAATATATTTGCCGACTACGAAAAAATTATAGACATAAAATATGTCCGTTAATTAATACGTATCAAATACATATCAGAGAAGCGAGAGTCTTGTGCATACCTATTGACCTATAATTAACCTTGCCCCAAGCCATTGAAAACAGGTCGACGGTGATAATCTTTTAAAAAAAACAGCCAGGCCAGTGTTTTTAAAACAATTTACACCCAGCTCAAGAAATTGAGCAGAGTTGACAGACCAATTAAAAAATTACCGTCCGGATAAATGAACCAAAATATAATGTAAAAATTCATTTTGTGGTAAAAAAAGACCGTCCGGATACGGAATGTGGAATTCCAGATAAACGAGACAAAATAATGCTCAAACAAGATGTGTTTGTGAAACACTGATGGCAGCTTATAGCGAAGGTTAAAGTTTCTTCAAATGCAAGTCAAAATCCAGGCCAAAAGATAAAAAATGTTGATACCCGAAGAAAGGTCTTGTCTCAAGGAATACACCTGTGAAATTTAAAAGACCTAGATACAACTGTTCAAAAGTTATGGCGAAGGTTAAAGTTTTTTAAATAAAAGTCAAACGTCAAGGTCAAAGTGGTTGGTATCCAAACGAAGATCTTGTCACAAGGATTACATATGTGAAGTATGAAAGCCCTAGCACCAACCATTCAAAAGTTATGGCAAAGGTTAAAGTTTTTCAAAAGTAGGTCAAACTCCTAGGTCAAGGTCAAAGGGTCAAAGTAGTTGGTATCCAAAGGAAGGTCTTGTCACAAGGATTACATATGTGAATTATGAAAGCCCTAGCATCAACCATTCAAAAGTTATGGCCAAGGTTAAAGTTTTTCAAAAGTAGTCAAACTCCTAGGTCAAGGTCAAAAGGTCAAAGTGGTGGTTGGTATCCAAAGGAAGGTCTTGTCACAAGGATTACATATGTGAAGTATGAAAGCCCTAGCTCCAACCATTCAAAAGTTATGGCCAAGGTTAAAGTTTTTCAAAAGTAGGTCAAAGTCCAAGGTCAAGGTCAAAAGGTAAAAGTTGTTGGTATGCAAAGGATGGCCTTGTCACAAAGAATAAACATGTGAAGCTTGAAACCCCAAGCACCAACTGTTCAGAAGTTATGGCCAAGGTTATAGTCTCATAAAATTTTGCAAAAGTTGGTCAAACTCCAAGGTCAAGGTCATAAGGTCAAATATGATGGTACCCAAAGAAAGGTCTTGTCACAAGGAATACACATGTGAAATATGAAAGTCATAGCTCCTACCAATCAAAAGTTATGGGCAAGGTTAAAGTTGACAACAGACAGACAGACAGACAAACGGACAAACAGACAAACAAACAGACAAACGGACAAACAGACAGACAGGACAAAAACAATATACCCCTAGGATCTTTCGATCCGGGGGCATAGAAATCCATTCCCATAAAAAATCGTACGGAAACTGAAGCATCCGGATATCTGAAAGTCCACTGTACATAAAAAGAAACAAAGAAAGATAGACAACCAGATGGACAATATGATTCCATAATATCCTGAGCTTCTTTGATTTTTGGGGAAAAATGGCACTGATGTATATCTAAGTAGATAACAGCAATGTGATAGCAACGATGCCTAATGAACGTTTATTTCAAGCAATGAATACCTGATCTCCTGTTCGTACCTTGCTTTCTTTGAGTTTGGATCTTGTTGTACACACAAAATTTGATGCTTTTCCAGTCTCTCTTCCTCAGAGCTTCTACATATTTCTCCTTGGCAGCCAGGCATTGTTCCTTGCCGGGCACCTTTAGCTTCTTTATGTGGTCACTAAAGTGTTCTGTCACAGCTGTCAACTCCTCCTCACTCCACAAGGTGGCGCCTTTTCTTGCCTTTCTTTTCCTCTTCACTGCAATAAATTGTCTCAATAATTATATACAATGTACCAAAATAATAAAATTTGATTTCGTATGCATCAAATATTGTTTTTAGGATAAAAATCCCATTAGTATACATAAATATCTATGTTAATTTACCCCCTGTTGCCCCGTCATGTGTTTGATCCTCTTCATGTGAGCGTTTACATTTCTGAAGGCGTTTATTTCTAGCCCTCTGTAATCGTCTATAATCCACTATGTCCCACTCCTGGTCACTTTCATCAGACATCTCATTGTTGTGTTTCTGAACAGATACCTTCAAGCAATATGGAACATGTAATTTGTGCAGGGACAAATTTAAAATTAGGTATAATTGTTAAAACGTGTGAAAGGGTGGAAATAACACAGTGAAAAATAACCCTATATATAGTATCTTTCCTCAGAAATGGATGCATCTCTTTACTTGAACAAATGTGAATCACCATCTGAAGAGCATTTATTGGCCTAACTAGATATCATTGAGATGGTGGCTGTCATGGATTATCCACGAGTGTATGTAACGTTAACTTTGTTGTGACATCATAATACTTTACGTTACTATAGATAATAACAAGTCTCAAATAAACCACTATACGATTAAGACGTCTTTCATTTCATTCCACAACATTTTGGTGCCGTGACCGACGGAATTCTACATAGTGTACATACAATAGAAGGAAGACTAAAAGCTATACGAGCTGGCAACAGATCAGCAGTTACAAAGCTATTTGGACGTTTTTTGGACTTGAAGGAAAATTCAGTCAGTGAAGAAATTACCGAGGAAATCAATATAATTAGAAAGTCTCTCCCGCTGAAAAGGCAGACCCTACAAGAATTGAATGACCGCATATTGGATATCCTATCTGAAGAGGACATCGAAACAGAAATCGCAAATACAGATGAGTACATGTATGAATTAGACTGTAAAATTAGGCAAACTGAAAAATTTACAGAAAAAATTCCATGTAAAACTTTGAATGCCAATGCTAAGTGTTTTATACCCACCACAGATATTCATGCTAAGAACGTTAACACGTCAGCTACAATTAACTCAAGTGAAACGGCTTGTGAGAATATTTTGAACAATTATCCTGCCTCTGATCTCAATGCACAAAGTAGCCAGGAAAATGTTTTGTCATTAACATCCCAACACGCTACGAATAATCACAGATTACCAAAGCTAGATCTTCCGCATTTTTACGGAGATGTATTAGAATGGAATACATTTTGGGATTCTTACGAATCAACGATTCATTGCAATCATACTTTGACGCCAATTCAAAAGTTTAGCTATCTCAAAGCTCAATTACGCGACACAGCAGCACAAACAATAGCAGGATTTGCGCTTACAAATGCTAATTACGAAACGGCAATAGACTTGCTCAAAGAACGATTTGGTCAGCCACAGAAAATTATTAACGCTCATATGAGAGCATTCATCGAACTTCCTGCCCCCAGAAATGATGCCATTAGTTTAAGAAATTATGGAGATTTCTTGGAATCTCATGTCAGGAGCTTAGAGTGTCTAGGACAAAGACAAGAGATGTTTGGAGCATTACTTATTCCAGTCATAATCAACAAGCTACCAAATGAAATTAGGAAAAACATTGCACGTGAGTACGATGGTGACAACATTTCACTACAAAATCTTTGTAAAGCTATCAGCAAAGAAGTCAAAATCCTTGAATCAGGCCAGATTGAAAACAGTGATGGACTTCACGCAACAGCAATGTTTCTTACTGGAGCCTCAAAGAAACAACGCAACGTTCATTATTCACATAATCAGAAAACAAGAGAGTTAACTCCTCATGTTGAAACAACAGAGATGAAGAGCTGCCCATGCATTTATTGTTGCACAGAGAATCATTTTCCAGGGGATTGTAAGAAAGTTACAGACGTAAGTGCAAGATTCGACATCTTAAAACGGAAAAAATTATGTTTCAACTGCTTGGGAAACCACCGCGCCTCAGATTGTAAATCCCGCAACAGGTGTAAAAAGTGTCAGAAAAAACACCACACAAGTATATGCGACATGAAACTAACGAGGGACAGAGACGAGGCCACCAAATCAACAAGTGTCAACATTGTAGAAGAAGTCAGAAACCACAGTACTGAACGTTGAACATTGACCTACAAATGTTTTACTGAAAACAGCTATTGCCCCAGTGAGTCATGAAAATCAGACAACCGATGCTAATATCTTATTTGATGAAGGATCGCAAAGATCGTTCATAACAGAAAAACTCGCAAATGAGTTAGAAATCACACAAAGGAAATCTGAAGCAATTAAACTAGCTACTTTTGGGGAAAATGGAAGTGTCCAGTATCTAGATATTGCAAACATCGATTTGATAACCGACTCGGGAGAATTGATTGCTATTAATGTTCTGATAGTACCATCCATAGCAAGCCCTCTAACCAGCTACCACTCTTCTGAAGTAAAAAGACTACCATACCTTCAAGGACTCAAATGAGCACATCCGGTTTCAGCTGACAGCGAATTTGTAATTTCGTTTTTAATTGGAGCAGATCATTACTGGAGAATTGTAGAAAACCAAGTCATCCGGGGACCGGGACCAACTGCTGTGAAGTCGAAGATTGGATTTTTGCTTTCAGGACCAACTTCTCAATCATCTTGTACAAACAATGTCAGTGATCACATATACAACGTTATAGCTATGCATACGTCAATAGAACAAGCACTGGAATGCTTCTGGGAATTAGAGAACATTGGAATCACGGACACACCAGATAAGAACGAGTCCAGTGATAAAGTCAAGATGTACCAAGATAAATGCATCGAGTTTCGAGACGACAAATACTACGCCAAATTGCCATGGAAACATGACCATTCTGAGCTACCGTCGAATTATGGAATTGCACTGAAAAGAACCCAAAGTACTATCAACAGACTGAGTAGCAACCCAGAACTTTTGAAGAAATACAGTGAGATAATCGAGGAACAGGAACGAAAAGGATTCATAGACAAGAGGCCCAGGGGCCACATCGCTCACCTGAGCACTATGGCTAGGAAAAAGCAGAAATCAGTTCAGTCTTGAAAGGTTGAAAAGTTTAAATAAAAAAGTGGTTCGGGGGGGGGGGGGGGGGGGGGGGGTCATGAATTGAACAAATTTGAATCTACATTATCTGAGGATGCTTCCATTTAAATATGACCAATCATGGTTTTGCTGTTCTTGAGTAGAAGATTTTTAAAGATTTAACCTATGTATTCCTATGTAAAACTTTGATCGCCCATTGTGGCCCCACCCGACCCCCGGGGGTCATGATTTGAACAAACTTGAATCTACACTATTTGAGAATGCTACCATATAAATATGACCAATCATGGCTTTGCTGTTCTTGAGAAGAAGATTTTTTAAAGATTTTTCCTTTATATTCCTATGTAAAACTTTGATGGCCATTGTGGCCCCACCCGACCCCCGGGGGTCATGATTTGAACAAACTTGAATCTACACTATCTGAGGATGCTACCATATAAATATGACCAATCATGGCTTTGCTGTTCTTGAGAAGAAGATTTTTAAAGATTATTCCTATATATTCCTATGTAAAACTTTGATCGCCCATTGTGGCCCCACCCGACCCCCGGGGGTCATGATTTGAACAAATTTGAATCTACACTATCTGAGGATGCTACCATATAAATATGACCAATCATGGCTTTGCTGTTCTTGAGAAGAAGATTTTTAAAGATTTTTCCTATATATTCCTATGTAAAACTTTGATCGCCCATTGTGGCCCCACCCGACCCCCATGGGTCATGATTTGAACAAACTTGAATCTACACTATCTGAGGATGCTTCCATATAAGTTTCATATTTTCAAGCACAGTGGTTCTTGAGAAGAAGATTTTTTTAATGATGCCATTAATTTTTCACGAATTCTTAATTATCTCCCCTTGGAAGAAGGCGTGGCCCTTCATTTGCACAAACTTGAATCCCCTTTACTCAAGGATACTTTGTGGCAAGTTTGGTTGAAATTGGCCCAGTGGTTCTTGAGAAGAAGATGAAAATGTGAAAAGTTTACAACAACAACGACAACGACAGACAACGGACAAATTTTGATCAGAAAAGCTCACTTGAGCCTTTGGCTCAGGTGAGCTAAAAAGGTTCCAGAGGATACAAAAACGTCTTCTTTGGTACATTATATTCCACACCACTATGTCAAAAAAGATTCCAGCACCACACCTATCAGGATAGTGTACGACTGTAGCTGCCACGAATCACCTGACAAGCCGAGCCTTAACGACTGTTTGGATTCAACGCCACCCATCTTAAATGATTTGACATCAATTCTGACAAGATTTCGACTATGCGAATTTGCTGTAACCACTGATATTGAAAAAGCATTTCTGCACGTTGGTTTACATGAGAATGACCGAGATGCAACGAGATTCCTTTGGTTGAAGGACCCGAATGATCTCAACAGTTCATTAGTGCCTTACCGTTTCAAAGCAGTGCTGTTTGGAGCCACTTGCTCCCCATTTATTTTAAATGCGACAATTCTGAAGCATCTACAGAAAAAGAACTCTACAAGTGCAGGTATTCTGAGGAGAGATCTGTATGTGGATAACGTGATATCCAGTTTTGCAAGTGAAACTGATGCTATTAAGTACTTTCGGGAATCAAGGAAGATCATGATGGATGCAGGAATGAAACTTAGATCATGGGCATCAAACAGTAAGCTACTTCACACAGAAGCCATGCATCATGGATTACACGACTAGGACGATGTAATAAAATTACTAGGATTACGCTGGGACCCAATGAACGACAAACTGTCATTTGCGAAACGAGAAATACCAAAACTTGAGACCGTTACAAAGAGATTGATACTACAATACTCATCACAAATATACGACCCACTTGGTATCCTGAGCCCAGTCACGGTGAGAGCCAAGATATTGTTACAGTCACTTTGGAAACAAAGGTACGAATGGGACAACCCAGTACCTGATGAAATTTGTAAGACTTGGAATTCTCTTGCAAATGATCTGAACATCGTATCATCAGTTCAATTTCTGAGGAAATATTTTAACAAGGTGGACGGTGAAACAACACTACACATCTTTGCAGACGCTGGTACAAAGTCTTATGGAGCTGCTGCATATATCTGCAACAGAAGCGAATCAAAATTAGTCATGGCAAAAAATAGAGTTGCACCACTTAAATCACTCACACTTCCACAGTTAGAATTGATGGCTGCACTAATTGCCACAAGACTAGGAAATCACCTGCAAAACTCATTATCAAAAATGAATATTGTCTACTGGTCAGACAGCCAAATTGTGTTACACTGGTTATCTAGCAAAAAACTGTTGAAAAAATTTGTGTCAAACAGAATATTCGAAATTCGCGAATTATGTAGTGCATTCAAATGGAAATACTGTCCAACACATTACAACCCTGCTGATCTACTGACCCGAGGACTTGACGCAACTTCATTTATGAACAGTGCCTTATGGAAACATGGTCCATCATGGATTTACAACAGAGAGGCATGGCCATGTTGGAACCCACAACCGACCTCAGTACAGTCTGTAATGGAGACACAAGAGAAATGCACGACAACGTCAAACGACCTTACTACAAAACCTGAAAACATTCTGAACATCATCCACGTATCAAGATTCAGCGATTATAAAAAACTACTACATGTAGTTGCATTTGTATTACGATTTGTGAAAAATTGTCCAGTTCACACATGCGACAGGGAATTCAACAGTTTAACATCCGAAGAGCTGTACAGAGCCAAAAAGAACATAATAAAAGGATGTCAAAAGAGAGCATTTTCCGAGGAGATTATGAAAATGAATTCCAATGGAGCCAAACCATCTCTTATCAGACAACTTCGTCTATTTCTTGATACTGATGGATGCATACGCTGTAGAGGTAGGATCTGCTATGCCAAAATAGACAACGAGACAAAGAACCCTTATTTACTTCCAAAGAAGGACACTGTTACACACTTGATCATCAGAGACGCTCATCAGCGGAGTGGCCATTCTGGTACGAATGCGACAGTGTCATACATCCGACAAAAGTTTTGGATACCAGCAATCAGACAGGCTGTAAAATCTGTCACTCGGAATTGCGTAATTTGCAGAACTGTAAATGGAAAACACTATTCCTCACCAGAGCTACCGCCTTTACCCTATTTTCGTACAGAGGAATCAGCGCCATTCACTACTACGGGAGTAGACTTCACAGGAGCTTTATTCATTAAGGAACGGAACCGAAGACAATCCAAAGCTTATATTTGCCTACTTACATGCGCTAAAACAAGAGCAATTCATCTAGAGACAGTCAATGATTTATCCGAACAGTCATTTTTACGGGCGTTCCGTAGATTTGCAAGCCGAAGGTCCGTGCCTAAGATAATCATCTCAGATAATGCGCCAACTTTCAAGTCCGCAGCGAATTACCTGCAACAACTGTTTGAATCTAAAACTATTAAAGAAGAACTCGCAAATATGGGAGTTAATTGGAAATTCATTCCAAAGGCAGCTCCATGGTATGGAGGCTTTTGGGAACGACTCATAGGAATTACCAAATCTACACTGAAGAAAATAATCGGCCGTTCATACATCAATTTAGAAACCTTACAAACTGTAGTCACAGAGGTTGAAGCGATAGTAAATGACCGTCCGTTAACATACGTTTCATTGAACCTCGAGGATCCAGAGCCATTAACACCATCACATTTGCTGTACGGAAGAAGACTGACTTCCTTACCATACCCAACAGAGGACCCAGAGAATTCAAACGACTGTCATTCATTGACTTGTCGTCGTCTAAACCAATGATTGAATAATCAGAATACTATTTTAAATCACTTTTGGAGCCGCTGGAAGAGAGAATATTTGACATCACTGAGAGAGTACCATACAGCAAATGGAAGCAGGTCGCAGAATATTAAAGTCGGTGACATTGTCCAAATCCATGAGGAGAAACCTCGGATCATGTGGAAACTAGCTGTCGTGGAGGAACTCGTACAGGGGAGAGACGGATTCGTCAGAGCTGCCACTTTACGGACCAAAAATGGACTTACCAATAGACCAATTTTGAAACTATATCCAATCGAAGTGAATAAGAACGAACTTCAAATACAATCTTTTGATCGAGTATCAAAAGCAAAAGCCAAAGAAAGAATCCATGAATGGACCTCTTAATTTAGTGATTATGAACTTGCTTTTTATTTCAATGGAACTGTTAATTATTGAGCTTTGGTGCCCGGAGTGTCATGGATTATCCGTGAGTGTATGTAACATTAACTTTGTTGTGTCATCATAATACTTTACGTTACTATAGATAATAACAAGTCTCAAATAAACCACTATACGATCAAGACGTCTTTTATTTCATTCCACAACAGTGGCCATCTCAAAGGGCCCTGCCTTCAGCAACAAACATGAAAGTGTAAGGTAGCTGAAAAGAGTTTATTTTGAAGAGGAACATTTGTGTACTATTAAGGGATGTGTTGTTTGAGTCTAAAGGGCTTCTATGTAATCTTTGTTATAATAAACAAGAGGCCCAAGGGCCTTAATGGTCACCTGAGTACAACAATTTAGAAGATCCATAAACTGATAAATGAAGCTTTAATTGTTGCCCAACAGCAAGAAAATTAGTACGATTAAGATCAATAAAATAATTGGTCTAGTATCTTTCTATCTGTCCCCCATTTATCACTATTACCAAGCAGACTTTTAACAAAATGTCTATCATATTTCCTCTCACATTGGCCTCACTTGGCCTTTGAAGAACATTTAAGAAGTTATTTTTGTTTCATTTTTATTCATCTATTATTTCCAAGTCTACCTGATTATTAAAACTATGAAAGTACTTTTTATATTATATAATAAATGTTCTTGCATAAATCTCTTATTCTATTAACCTTTGAAATACATTATCTACAGTGATTAATTATCAAAAGTGAATGGCAAAGGGGAATAACTTCACTCAATAGAATACAAATTAATAGAGCCCTGGCCAGGACCAGAACACTTGACTAAATGGTACAGATGTTGAAAATTTACAAATTTGGAAGAGGTACCCTCATCATCATAACTATGCAATTAGTTGAAGATTTTCAAAGAATTCACACATTTTCACTATATTATCAAATAGAGCCCCCCCCCCCCCCCCACCTCTGAGAAACAACAGAACCCCTGGGACCACAAGTTTTAAAAATTTTGTAAAAGCATCCTTGCTCATCATAACTATACACTTGTTTCTTTGCTTTATAACCAGGAGTAGAAAAAAATATTTTGAAAGAAATTATGAATTTTCACTATAAAATCAACAGAGTCCCCCCCCCCCCCCCTTCACCAGAACCCCTGACCCAGGGGCCATGAAATTCACAATTTTGGAAGAGGCAGCCATGCTCATCATAACAATGTACTTAGTTAATTTCATACCCATGAGCAGAGAAGAAGATTTTCAAAGATATAATGCATTTTCACTATATAATCAATAGAGCCCCACCCTAACATTAGAACCCCTGACCCAGGGGCCATGAAATTCACAATTTTGGAAGAGGCAGCCATGCTCATTATAACTTTGTACTAAGTTACTTTATTTTATACCCAGGAGCAGAGAAGAAGATTTTCAAAGATTTAATGCATTTTCACTATATAATCAATAGAGCCCCACCCTAAAACCAGAACCCCTGACCAAGGGGCCATGAAATTCATAATTTTGGAAGAAGCAGCTATGTTCATCATAACAATGTACTTAGTTATTTTATTTAATACTCATGAGCAGAGAAGAAGATTTTCAAAGATATAATGCATTTTCACTATATAATCAATAGAGCCCCTCCCTAACACTAGAAACCCTGACCCAGGGGCCATGAAAATTCCCAATTTTGGAAGAGGCACTCTTGCTCATCATAACTATGTACTTAGTTAGTTTATTTAATACCAAGGAGCAGAGAAGAAGATTTTCAAAGAATCAATGCATTTTCACAATATAATCAATAGAACCCCGCCCTAACACCAGAACCCCTGACCCAGGGGCCATGAAATTCACAGTTTTGGAAGAGACACTCTTGCTCTACATAACTATGTACTTAGATAGTTTATCTAATACCCAGGAGCAGAGAAGAAGATTTTCAAAGAAATAATGCACTTTCACTATATAATCTATATAGCCCCGCCCTAGCACCAGAACCCCTGACCTTGGGGCCATGAATTTCACAATTTTGGTAGAAGGCTCAATGCTTATTACAATCATAATAACAGTTTGACTGCTTGATGTCCAGGAGTAAAGAAGAAGATTTTTAAAGATTGCATTAATTTTGGTGGTTTTAGCCCCACCCCTCAGGCCCCAGGGGGGCAGGGACCATGAAATTCATAATTTTTGTCCCCCTTTACCCATAGATGCTATATGCCAAAATTGGTTGAAATTGGTTGAGTGGTTTCAGAGAAGAAGCTGAAAATGTTTAAATGTTAACACATGACGACGGACAAAAACGGATAGCAATAGGTCACCTCAGTGACTCAGGTGACCTAAAAATGGCATGAGAATCACAAGTGCCCCATATCCTCTATCAAAAAACGGTCCAAAAATCATGAATGTTGCATATCCTCTATGAAAATTGTTGCATATCCTCTATCAAAATGGAAGGAAAATCCTAATGTTCCGTACCCTAAGTCAATTGGTAAAGTTTGAGGTTGACTGGACTTAAGGGAAAGAAATTATGCACCGAACAAAGATTTTAAACAGAGAGGCTATTTTTGACCTTGAACCTTGACCTAGAAACTTCATTCAAGGTCACTGCACATCCATTGACCAGTGGCACTCTGTGAGTTAAGTATGAGCCACATTGGACCAAGAGGAGAGAAGATATGCTCTGGACAAGAATTTTTCATATAATTCTGCTATGACCTTAACCTTAGACCTAGAAACATGGTTCAAGGTCACTGCACACCCTTTACCCAAAGACACTCTGTGAGTGAAGTATGAGCCAGATTGGGCCAAGGAGAGAGAAGATATGCTCCGGACAAGAGATCTCAGATGGATAGACGGATGGACAAAGGGACGGACAGACTGATTACTATAAGGCATCCGCAGAGCGGGGCCCTAATTATTCTGCAGGCAGGTGAAAATACAAAAAGATAACACATGACAGACAGAAAATAGACAATTCTTTATAGCAATAGCTTGCTTGACTCTGTTTAGCTATGAAGAATTTAACATCAATCTTACTTTTTCTCTGACTGCTCTGTGGGAATTCTGTCTTGTTGCACTCTTGTCATCAACAGAGGAAGGCTGTCAACACAAAAATAATCTTATCTCAATATTCATGTAAAGAAATCTACAGTACCAGTCACAAACAACTGATCAACATAAAAAAAATCCCACAGAAATCAGACCTAGTGGTGTTTCCCTAAATAATCTTCCATGCAAGTCTGGTCTGGGTAGGCATATAAATTTGTTTTGATTGAAGGCAATAAATTTGACTGTAGAGATTTCTATACATATAAAAGGTATAAAAGCTTATTTTTCAAAAATTTGACCTCTTTATTAAGAAAACTGATTTTTCAGAATTTGACCTCTTTCATCCCTATAATATACTGTAAATGTATTATATTAAGCATGTGAGATATTTGGGGTGAAATAGGTTTTTCAACGTTAGCTTAATTTTTAAGTTCATGCACATATACAGGACATTTAGCAACACTTGATTAAGTGGCTGTTTTTAGAAGCTGCTTTATGCAGAAGGGGTTAAAAAGAAAACACAGCCAAATGTAATATGTTTACAGTATTATCCTTTCTCTCCTGAAAATCTAAAAAATTTACTGTTGAGTGGAATACTGTAGATTCCTTGGTACTGTTGACTCATTTGCTTTCATCATGACTCAATTTTTGGGGATTTGTGGATACCCTTATCCAAAAATTGCCATTCTCTACAAATTAATAAACTAGGCTAAACAGGAAGTTGACATAGGATACTTAAGAAAATGAATCCCACCATATTGCATACCTAAACAAAGAGTGTGCTATAATTTCAAGCATCTGTGATGAGTAGTTTCTGAGAAAATTGTGATGAAAATTTCTTTAATATGGTACGGACAGATGTAGGGATAAACAGAAAGTTAACATAGGATTCGTACAAAAATGAATCCCACAATATGGCATGCCTAAACATAGAGTGTGCCATAATTTCAAGCATCTGCAATAAATAAATGCTAAGAAAACTGAAATGAAAATTTGTCACATATGGCACAGACAGACCCACAGAAAAACAGGAAGTTGACATCGGATTTGTTTAAAAATGAATCCCACCATATGGCAATGCCTAAACAAAGAGTGTTCTAAAATTTAAAGCATCTGCAATGAGTAGTTGCTGAGAAAACAGTGACGAAAATTTGTTACGGACAGACAGACACACAAGGGTAAAACAGTATACCCCCTCTCCTTTGGAGCGGGGGTATAATTACCACTTTAATGTTATATTGCTGAACTAGATGTAAAAATATTTGATCAATAGGCAACTAACAAATTCATATTCTCAAGATTTGATGCTTATGAGTCATACTTCAGGATATGTAATGATTATAAGCCAAAAACTGTCAATTATGTCAGATATTAGATGGCTCAAGGCGTGTTAGCGCTGAGGAGAGTCTAATATATGACATAATGGTCAGTTTGAGGCTTATAACTTACTTAAAACATTTCACTAATGTAAAACACACCCATTGTTAACTTATTGGACACCTATAGGTAAATGGGTCTCATTCTACTTTGGTAACTTCACCTGGCACTGTCCATTAAGTTAAGCCAAATAAAACAAGCTTTCGAATTTACCACCTGTTTTTCAATAGTAGAAATCACAGATTCACTGTTTTACATGGATAAATATGAACATAACCTTTGTTTAGTCATACTGTAGATTGGCAAATACTCACGATGGTTTTAATTTCACTATGTTCGCGATTTATCATTTTTCCGTGAAAGTAAACCCATCGTGAATGGCATTACTAGTTTTTAGAAACGTTAAATGCTTATACAAAATTTACATTAATTTCTTGAAGCGTGAAATTAAAACCATCGTGATTGGTACTTTTTGAGAAATCGTGAAATTTTAACACCATGGAATTAAAACGACTTACAGTATTTATACACATTGCAACATTTTTAACTATGTACTACGCATGCGTAAAAGTTAGTTCTATTAAATTCTTGAAAATTTACTCATTTTACAACGCAGCACTCCAATGTGGATGTACAATTTTAAACAACTTCAGATTCAGTTATTCTTGATATTGTCATGAAGAAGGCTAAATTTAAATGCAAGCTAAAGCTTGAAGTTTTCTACCATGAAATTCGGAGATATTCTTATATTTTGGTGTTTGCAAAAAAAAAAAAAAAGTTTGTTGATTGAAAAAAACAAGATTTGAAAGATTTTACTCCAACCACTCCCGAAGCTTTAATTTGCAACAAACAGTTTCTCAATTGTGCGCGTTTTAGTGGATTTTACTCCAGCCACTACTTAAAAGCAACAAGAGATTCTTGCTCAAACAACACGGGACTGACAGAAAAAACGGTCACAACTAACGAAAAACAGAATTAGTTGATATTTGGTGAGCGGTATAGTTAAAACCCAAGGATGTGTGTAAGGAAACCCATGCAATGCCATATGATTCTTCCTTTGTGTTCCCTAATTCTGTGAATGTTCGTGTATCAATATGAAATAAAAAGTAATTAATGGTGAATTAATGGAATTTAAGTTTGCCATAGATTTCTCTACATTTTCTTTTGAGACATTCACCCTATGGATTATTCATGCATATTTCAGTAGGATTATAATGTGAAATATTTATAATTTACACTGAAATTTATACTGATAATTTTCTACATTGCTCATATTAAATTGTTTGCTTTATCAGCTAGGCTGAGTGCTTTTTCGGTGTTGTTTATTTCTTTGTGTTGCCCTTTGTTTTCAATGCAATGTAACCTGTAGCTGTCCAATAAATTGAATCTTACTGAACACCTATAGGTAACTTATTGGACGGAGTGTAGGACAATGAGAAATTTACTGGACCAGGTTTCACAAAAGGTGACATCACAAAAATGTTTTAATGTAAAGTAATTGCAAAAAGTACTTTAATAAACACACATCATGTTGCCTACTGACATGAAATATTTTTGTCATATACTCCTCCATTTATCAGTTTGTATACCCTGCAGGGAGCCTCATTACTAAAATCATGAGTATAAAAAGACAGTGTATACAATGGATATGGAATGGTTTGCTTTGCCTTGCAAAAAACGAAATATTCTATACATTCAAAAACTTCCACAGATACTTGTTACAGATACAATCTCCATCCTCCAAATGCTAAATACTTTAAATAGCCCTATTTGATTTGGTGGCATGAATTATAGTTAAAGTTTTTATTTTTCTAACAATGATTTAAAATGCCCATGATTCCAAAAAGTAACTCATTTCATGTAATAGGGTCTTAATTAACTTTTATGAACCCTTGATTCTCTATAGATAGCACTGATCTAAGATTTAATGCATTCACAAACTTTTATGTTCAACACTGTTTGAAGAGTAGCCCTTTTCAATATCTTACCTGAGAATTAAGATGACCATTTACTTGATGTTCTCTGTGAAGCCGTTTATGCTTACTTAAGCTGCATCTAGTGTATAGTCCAAAACACACATCACAATGGGTATATTTTCCCAGATCACCAACCTTATGGTACCTCAATTTCACAGGAATCAAAAAGCCGCTGCCCAAATGTGCCACTCTTCTGTTATGTTGATAGTTCCCCCTCCTAAGTAACGCTTTAAACAACTGTCTTCTTTTCAATGAATTTAAGGGGTAGTCCAGTGCCCTCTGAACTTCCATCTTGTCAGAGTGTATGTGCTTTAGGTGTCGAGACATGTTCACTACCAGTGTCTGACAATACACACAACAGTTTCTCTTTTGCAGCTTAACACCTCTCCCAAATTTCTCATTCTGGTTAAAGTTGAAGGCACCATCATTGCTAATTTGATAATTCTGTGTCCTATTCTCATCTTGTTCAGTGGTTGATCTGGCTTGACTTTTGGATTTGCAGAAACATTTTTCCTTAATATTTGCAGTAGAAATCCTCTGTGGAAAATAAGTGATCTTTAAAATAATACATATGGTGATAAAAATTCATACTAAAAAACAACTATGAAACAGATATTGCAAAATTACTGCAGGGATTTAAACCAGAAGTCTCTGATGAGACTGTAGCTCTACTGGTCTGTACGTATAACAAAAGAAAAGTAGCACTTGGATTTGAAACTCTGCAACATGCAACAATAAATAGAATTATGTATCTTTAATAATGTAGTCTACTTCTGTGCCAAGTTATTTTGAAATCAAACGAAAACTGTAGGAGGAGTAGCGTTTTGAAAGTATTTCACGGAAATTTCTATTTTTGGTAACCATGACAACACCATTCACCGAAATAAAAAAAACAGAAATACATATTATGTATCGTAGTGTATTCTAACTGTGTGCCAAATTAGATTGAAATCAGACCAAATTTATAGGAGGAGTAACGTTTTATGGAAATTTCTCAAAAATTTCTATTTTAAGTAACCATGGCAACACTGTTCATCGAATTCAAAAACTGATGCATTAAGTTATGTATCTTAGTCTTCTTGTATGCCTAATTATATTAAAAGCAGACTAAAACTGTAGGAGGAGTAGCGTTTTAAAGGAATTTCACAGAAATTTCTATTTTTAGTAACCATGGCAACACTGTCCATCGAAATCAAAAACCCATGCACTAAATATTGTATCTTAGTGTAGTCTACTTGTGTGCCAAGTTATATTGAAATCAGACCAAAACTGTAGGAGGAGTAGCGTTTTAAAATGAATTTCACAGAAATTTCTATTTTTAGTAACCATGGCAACACCGTCCATTGAATTCAAAAACCCATGCACAAAATTATGTATCTTAGTGTAGTCTACTTGTGTGCCAAGTTATATTGAAATCGGACCAAAACTGTAGGAGGAGTAGCATTTTAAAGGAATTTCATAGACATTTCTATTTTTAGTAACCATGGCAACACCGTCCATTGAAATCAATCTCCAATGCACTAAATTATGCATCTTAGTGTAGTCTACTTGTGTGCCAAGTTATATTGAAATCGGACCAAAACTGTAGGAGGAGTAGCGTTTTAAACAAATTTCACAGAAATTTCTATTTTTAGTAACCATGGCAACACCGTCCATCGAAATCAAAAACCGATGCACTAAATTATGTATCTTAGTGTAGTCTACTTGTGTGCCTAGTTATACTGAAATCAGACAAAAACTGTAGGAGGAGTAGCGTTTTAAAGGAATTTCATAGACATATCTACTTTTAGTAACCATGGCAACACCGTCCATTGAAATCAAAATCCGATGCACTAAATTATGCATCTTAGTGTAGTCTACTTGTGTGCCAAGTTATATTGAAATCGGACCAAAACTGTAGGAGGAGTAGCGTTTTAAACAAATTTCACAGAAATTTCTATTTTTAGTAACCATGGCAACACCGTCCATTGAAATCAAAAACCCATGCACTAAATTATGTATCTTAGTGTAGTCTACTTGTGTGCCTAGTTATACTGAAATCAGACAAAAACTGTAGGAGGAGTAGCGTTTTAAAGGAATTTCACAGAAATTTCTATTGTTAGTAACCATGGCAACACCATCCATCGAAATCAAAAACCGATGCACTAAATTATGTATCTTAGTGTAGTCTACTTGTGTGCCAAGTTATATTGAAATCGGACCAAAACTGTAGGAGGAGTAGCGTTTTAAAGGAATTTCACAGAAATTTCTATTTTTAGTAACCATGGCAACACCATTCATCGAAATCAAAAACCGATGCACTAAATTATGTATCTTAGTGTAGTCTACTTGTGTGCCAAGTTATATTGAAATCGGACCAAAACTGTAGGAGGAGTAGCGTTTTAAAGGAATTTCACAGAAATTTCTATTGTTAGTAACCATGGCAACACCGTCCATCGAAATCAAAAACCGATGCACTAAATTATGTATCTTAGTGTAGTCTACTTGTGTGCCTAGTTATACTGAAATCAGACAAAAACTGTAGGAGGAGTAGCGTTTTAAAGGAATTTCATAGACATATCTATTTTTAGTAACCATGGCAACACCGTCCATTGAAATCAAAATCCGATGCACTAAATTATGCATCTTAGTGTAGTCTACTTGTGTGCCAAGTTATATTGAAATCGGACCAAAACTGTAGGAGGAGTAGCGTTTTAAACAAATTTCACAGAAATTTCTATTTTTAGTAACCATGGCAACACCGTCCATTGAAATCAAAAACCCATGCACTAAATTATGTATCTTAGTGTAGTCTACTTGTGTGCCTAGTTATACTGAAATCAGACCAAAACTGTAGGAGGAGTAGCGTTTTAAAGGAATTTCACAGAAATTTCTATTGTTAGTAACCATGGCAACACCGTCCATCGAAATCAAAAACCGATGCACTAAATTATGTATCTTAGTGTAGTCTACTTGTGTGCCAAGTTATATTGAAATCGGACCAAAACTGTAGGAGGAGTAGCGTTTTAAAGGAATTTCACAGAAATTTCTATTTTTAGTAACCATGGCAACACCATTCATCGAAATCAAAAACCGATGCACTAAATTATGTATCTTAGTGTAGTCTACTTGTGTGCCAAGTTATATTGAAATCGGACCAAAACTGTAGGAGGAGTAGCGTTTTAAAGGAATTTCACAGAAATTTCTATTGTTAGTAACCATGGCAACACTGTCCATCGAAATCAAAAACCGATGCACTAAATTATGTATCTTAGTGTAGTCTACTTGTGTGCCAAGTTATATTGAAATCGGACCAAAACTGTAGGAGGAGTAGCATTTTGAAAAATTGTTTACAGACAGACGGACAGACAGACAGACAGACGGACGGACGACGGACACCTTACTATCGCATAAGCTCTTCTGGTCTATGACCAGTAGAGCTAAAAAAGGTCTGAGGACTTAGTGGTCTTCTGAGTAAAATAAAACCTTGAAAAGGATCCATAGAAGTACAAAATACAACAAAATAAACTGATAGGTGAAGATATGTTGCCCAAAAGCAAAAAGAAAAAAGAAAGAAAGAAAAATAAAATGGATGAACAAAATATAAGGTCATTGAACATAAGTCTTCATCACTGATGTCAAAACTGAAGTAAATTTTTTACAATAGGTACTCATCAACAAGAGGCCCATGGGCCACATCGCTCACCTGAGCACATTGGCTAGGCAAAAGCACAAATCAGTTCAGTATTGAAAAGATTACCTGGGGGGGGGGGGGGGGAGAGAGAGAGGGGGGCTTGAATTTTAAACTACCTGATGATGCCTCCATGTCAATATAACAAATGGCTTTATTGTACTTGAGAAGATTTTAAGAAAATTTTCCCATATATTCCTTTGAAAAAATATATTCCTTTGTAAAAATTTGATCCTCCATTGTGGCTCCTCCCTATCCCAGGGGTCATCATTTGAACTTGAATCTACACTACCTGAGGATGCTTCCATATCAATATGACTAAACATAGCTTTCCTGTACTTGAGAAGAAATATTATTTCAATATGTTCTTATGTAAAACTTTCGATCCCCCAATGGGCCCCATCCAACCCCTGGGGGTCATCATTTGAACAAAATTGAATCTACACTACCTGAGGATGCTCCCATATCAGAATGACTAATCATGGTTTGCAGTTCTTCAGAAGAAGATATTTCCCTATATGTTACTACTTAAGACTTTGATCCTCCAAAATAGAATCTACACTATCTGAGGATGCTTCCATGTAAATATGATCAATCAGGGCTTTGCTGTTCCTGAGAAGAAGATTTTTAAAATTTTTCCTATACATTTCTATGTAAAACTTTGATCCTCCATTGTGGCCCTGCCCTACCCCCGGGGGTCATGATTTGAATAAATTTGAATCTACACTACCTGTGGATGTTTACATATAAATATGAACAATCTGGGCTTTGCTGTTCCTGAGAAGAAGATTTTTCCTATATATTTCTATGTACAACTTTGATAGTCCATTGCAGCCCTGCCCTACCCCCCTGGTCATGATTTGAACAAACTTGAATCTACACTACCTGAGGATGCTTCCATATAAATATGACTCATCATGGCTTTGCTGTTCTTGAGAAGAAGATTTTTAAAGATTTTTCCTATATATTATTTCTATATAAAACTTTGATCCTCCATTGTGGCCCTGCCCTACCCCTGGGGGTCATGATTTGAACAAACTTGAATCTACACTACCCGAGGACGCTTCCATATAAATATGACTCATCATGACTTTGTTGTTCTTGAGAAGAAGATTTTTAAAGATTTTTCCTATATATTTCTATGTAAAACTTTGATCCTCCATTGTGGCCATGCCCTACCCCTGGGGGTCATAGTTTGTACAAACTTGAATCTACACTATCTGAGGATGCTTCCATATAAATATGACTCATCATGGCTTTGCTGTTCTTGAGAAGAAGATTTTTAAAGATTTTTCCTATATATTTCTATGTAAAACTTTGATCCTCCATTGTGGCCCCGCCCTATCCCCGGGGGTCATGATTTGAACAAACTTGAACGTACACTACTTGAGGATGCTTCCATATGAGTTTCATCTTTCCTGGCCCTATGGTTCTTGAGAAGAAGATTTTTAAATGTTGCCATTATTTTTTCACTAATTCCTAATTATCTCCCCTTGAAAGAGGGCGTGGCCCTTCATTTGAACAAACTTGAATCCCCTTTACCCAAGGATACTTTGTGGCAAGTTTGGTTGAAATTGGCCCAGTGGTTCTTGAGAAGAAGTCGAAAATGTGAAAAGTTTACAGACAGACAGACAGACAGACGGACAGACAGACAGACGGACAGACAGACGGACGCCGGACAAAATGTGATCAGAAAAGCTCACTTGAGCTTTCAGCTCAGGTGAGCTAAAAACATAGGTAATCAGAGAATAAAGAGCTCACCTCAACAAATGTGTTTAAGTAAGGTAAAAACCCATGCTTAACTAATAATCTGGTAGTGTGCATTCCTAGATGTAACATTTATGCAATTTTGGTCTGATAGGGCTTGCAGTTACTTGGGAAGTTTGAGAGTGTTCATCCAGTGAAGCATCATCCATACAAGTTTGGTTCAGATTGCCCTTATAGTTTCTTGGTAATGGAATGCTAATGAGAATGGTAATGCTCCAAAAACTTTAATCTGGTCACTCATCAGGAAAATGTAGATCAGATCCAGCATCCGAAGCAGGCTTGGTAGTGTGCATCTTTAGATGCATCACCTATGCAAGTTTGGTCAATATAGGGCTTATAATTACTTGGAAATGTATGGAAGCCCATTTAAGACTTATCAAAAATATTTTTGAAATCAAGATAACGAATTCTCAAATTTGTTATAACAAATTTAATTTGTTATATCGATTTCTTTTAATTCGCTATAACAAATTTAATTTGTTATAACAAATTTGTTGAATTCATCATAATGAATTCAAAAATTTGTTCAACTAATTCAACTTGTTTTAACAAATTATAAAACCTGCTGTGACGAATTAAATTTAATGAAACAAATTATTTATTATAATGAATTAAATGCGTTTAAACAAATTCGACAATTCATTATATCAAATTCATATTTTTTTGTATAGGCCCTAATTCTTTAATTTTATTTCAACGAATTGAATCCACAAATATAAATTTCAGAATTTGTTTAAACCAATTTAATCCGTAATAACAAATTTTTGAATTCGTTATAAAGAATTTAACAAATCTTTTATCACAAATTTAATTCATTATTACAAATTCAAAAAATTGTTATAACAAAATAAATTCGTTATATGCATTGAATTAAAAAATATTTTTTTATAGGTCCTAAATGGGGTTCCTTAGAAATGAGACCTGCTCCAAAACTCTAACCTGATCCAAAAATTTTAACTTGGTTAATATTTAGCTGAAATTGCAGCATCTGAAACCTTGACTGGTACAATGAAACATATTACTAATAGAAGCATCCTCCATGCATCTCTGATTAATATAGGACATAGAAATCGGTATCTGCTCCAAAAACTTTAACCTGGGATGCCGACGCTGAGGGTATTACATAAGCTCCCCCAACTTTGTTGAGATGAGCTGAAAAACATCCATCTGAACATGCTGAATTTAATTCTTATTGCCATACCTAAACATTTTGTTTCAGAGAAGACCCTTCAGTCTTATTACTCCTTGAAGTATGTGGGTAATCGTTAAATAAAGCTGATAAATATAATTCGAATATACATATGATCTTACTAAATTTTCTTCTTCAGTGTCATCAAATGTCTGTCTGGATGCCTCACAGAAGAATTTATGTACGGTGTCAGTTTTCCTGATGAAAAGGTAACAGGTAAAACAGAATTCATAGTCTCTGCTGATGTTAGCTGCCTTCTGAACTCGTCTCAGAGGAACCAGATCCCCACATCCGGCCTGTATGACACGGTCATTGTGCTTCTTGTTACCTAGGACAATAAGATCATTCCACAATTTTTTTCCCGCCTCAAACTCTCTTGGCATTCTGATGGCTTCCTCTACCAATTCTTCTTCACAGTGTTTGTTTTCCAAGTGTTTGATGATGTTAGACTTTGGCTGCTGGCAGTAAAGGCAAAATGAATGCTTTAGTGACAGCAAGATGGAAATGTTCTCATTGTGTTTCAATGAATAAGGATGGTCCTTATTTTTCTTCTTCACCTGAAAATGAAAAACATTAAATAAGCCCATGAGCTCCATCACTTACCACCTGCAGAATTATAGTGCAGAATGCGGGTGGTTACGTTCCCATCACTTGTTCGACCCGCTTGTTTTCGACACGAATTCCATGTTCAACCCGAGTAGTTTCATTCTGAAGCAATTAATTAACACTTTCAACAGTTTTACATTTTATTTTTCGTCTACATAGGATTTTTTTAGTGTTGTCAACGAGTACCCGGTCAACCGTCGAACGATGCGAGTATTGGTTAGTATAACTGCTATTCGGTTACTCGGACAAAATACATTTTACATTGTAAATACATAGAAAATAAATGTTATATTGTTTATAAATGTATAATAACACATTTACCTAAAATTATTTACTGTTAGACTTGATCGAGTGGTTCACAAATAGGATCGATTTGTTTTGATTAGTTTTCACACTTTATATAATTGATAGCTTTGATTGCCAGGGGTATAAAAAATTTGAAGACCTGAGTTATAATTACCTCATTTACCCCTATGCTAGTCAAAGGAGGAGCATAATTTAATAAGATGCCGCCGCAGACAAATAAAGCTTGGAAGTATTTTAAAAGAACAGCTGATTCGAGATCTGTATAATGTAAATTATGTGAATCGAAGTTATTGTATACGAGTTGGACTACAAATATGTTAAATCAGCTAAGATTAAAACATTATTCGGAAAACAGCGATTTACTGGACACTCTATGAATCAACCAGTTATTATGGGTATTTTAATTCTCATTGATCGCGACATATATCAGGGGATGAAAAGAAAAACGTAACGATCGAGAGCCATTGTGAAAATGGTGATTGATGACTATATATATGTTTTCTTTGTGTGTTGATAAAATTATTTATTTAAACAAAAATAAACTTTCCGTTTCAATTGACATCTAAAATCAAAATTCTTTGAAGATATTGTGTATGTGTTTGAGTTTGTAATTGTAAATAGTTCATACGCAGTAAATTTGTTTTATTTCTACCGATAGGTAAAGGATGAGATAAATAATAGATATGGTAACTGTAACGAAAAAATCATCCGAGTAACCGGTTACTTGATCGGAAAAGTAAGCGAGTAACCGGTTACTAAAAATCGTCCAATTTGACAACACTAATTTTCTTAAATATCCACCACCTATACTTTAATCATTTAATTAGTGTTAATTATTGTGTTTATTTATCGTATGCAATTTAATTTGGAGAAATGTACATTGTTTAGACAGTGCATATGTGATCACGATGCATTTGAAGAAGTATTATATTTGATTAATTTTTATGGAAAACTGTTCAAATATAATTCATTACTTAATCAAATTTATCAACATCCTTGCTCTGCGATAGTAGATAAAAATATTAGGAAACCATCTAATTGTTAACTATTGACTGCATGTTGACTAACACATACGGAAACAACGACCTATTGACACATACAACTCTGAAGCAATAAAGTACAGCTACCAAATATCCATTTGTCTATCGCACAGTATGTACCCCTGTACTCAGGTACTGACCTGTAGGGAAATATATAAGAGGAGGTTGAAACCAATTGGGTCATTACCACGTGGGTCGAACACGGAATCGGAATGTAGCCACCCAACACCACTGTGAAATGGCTCACAGCGGTAGTCCTACCCTAATGCTAAACCCCTGACCCTGGGACCATGAATTTCAGAGTTTGGTCAAGGACTCATTGCTTGTTATAATCATCCAAACAGATTGACCACTGATGTTTACAGCTAAAGAAGAATATTTTTGAAAATTGCCATACTGGTAATTTTGATGGTTTTGGTCCCATCCATTAGGCCCCAAAGGGCAGGGGCCATAAAATCAATAATTTTTGCCTCCTTTTGTCCTAAGATGCTCTACACCAAAATTGGTTGAAAATGCTTCAGTGGTTTATAAGAATATGAAAATGTTCAAAAGTTTATGTATAAAACAAAAACATAGCAATAGACAAAATCATAGCAATAAGTCACCTGAGTGACTCAGGTGACCTTAAAAAAATAATCCAGCATATTTACTCTATAATGTACCAGTGCACCACGTGAAATCCAATGAGTACAGTAAAAGTAGTACCAGATTGATGTACATTAGGCATGGGTCCAGAAATTTTTCAAAGAGACATACATGTATTTATATTACAATTACATAAGACTTTTTTTGCATAATATTTTGTTATCTATTCCATATATGACAGGATACAGATGAATCGGGGGTGGGGTTGATTTACGCCAAGTAAATTAGGTGTGCATGCTTGAATTTGGCAAAGGGTTTTCCCGGCATGAATGCTGATTTTATTTTTGAAAAAGAAAATTTTGGTATCAAAAATTTTAAAGTTCATCACAATTCTATGCACTAAAAATATTCATATTCATTGTATTGACAACAATTCAACAAGTTTCCATCATGGGCCCAACCCCCAACCCCCCTTTAAGCTTTTTTCTACACAAAATCCTTCTTTAAAAAGTCCCTTTTCAACAGATTTTACTTCATTAAATTCTGTATTTTAAAACTGGTAATGAATTTATTATATTAAATAATTATTTAAAAGGCCCATGGCCATAGACTCACCCGAGCATTTTAGTTTTTATACATTACATATATATTTTGTGTAAATTATAGAATTATCGTGGCTTCTTCCCTGGTTACACAAATATGAAGGAGAGTATATTTACATGCAAACACCTATGTGCAGGTACTACCGTTTCATGAAAGCATCTAGCTACAAATATAGTCACTGTGTAAGGTTATGCCCAATGTACTGTCATTAAATATTCAGAATTCCATGCAAAATGAAGTAAACTTGGTTCTTTATAAATTACTAAGTAATAGATTAAATATAGACAATATGGAAATGCAAGCATGTCTATGTTCCTTTAAAATAACATTGTTACATACAGTGCTCATGCTTCATATCATAGCACCCCTTGGTTGTGACAGAACCAAATAGATGGACAGAAAGACAGATGCTGAGTAAAATGAACCTTAAGTGTCTTTTGTGGATGACACAAAAATAAGAAACAAAAGAATTGACCTACCATAACAATGTTCTTGTCAGAGTCAATGTTGAGAAGCTCTGTTGGGGCTTTTTCCACATCATCTTCACCATGTGATAAATCATTCTCTTCCTCTCTAGCTTTACTGAACCCAGGGCAATTCCTTCTTTCAGTGCCCCCAGTTTCATAGCCTACTTTTAATACACTGCAATCCTCCACCTCACCCTGCCTTCTGCCCACTTGTCTGCTGCTCCCACTGTCCTCCACTTGTCTGCTGTTCCCACTTTCCTCCACTTGTCTGCTGCTCCCACTCTCCTCCACTTGCCTGCTGCTCCCACTCTCCTCCACCTGTCTGCTGCACCCACTCTCCTCCACTTGTCTGCTGCTCCCACTCTCCTCCAATTGTCCGCTGCTCCCACTCTCCTCCATTTGTCTGTTGCTCCCACTCTCCTCCACTTGTCTGTTGCTCCCACTCTCCTCCACCTGTCTGCTGCTCCCACTCTCCTCCACTTGTCTGCTGCTCCCACTCTCCTCCAATTGTCCGCTGCTCCCACTCTCCTCCACCTGTCTGTTGCTCCCACTCTCCTCCACTTGTCTGCTGCTCCCACTCTCCTCCACCTGTCTGCTGCTCCCACTCTCCTCCACTTGTCTGCTGCTGAGGTTTTTCTCCTCTGATGGAGTCATGAGATTTGTATCTTCCTCACCATTTAGTGAGCTATCCTTCCTATCCACCTGAGCAGTGTTGCTTGCCCCTCTATTTTTACACCTGTCCTTCATCGGACTTGATATGCTTCTCTTTCTGTTGGCTGATTTATGCTCATCAACTTTCTGTAAAGTACAGCACAGATGAATCATATAAAATGTGAGAGAAATATGAAACTTGATGTTTCTATTTTTTCTTGAGCTATTTAGGTTCACCAAGAATCATTTTTGGTGCTGTTTAATTTGGACCAAAAATCTTGATTTTTAACTTTTAAAAATCATTGGATATTGAAATTTCTTAACCTGTTTTAAATTCCATATACTGACACCTCCCAATGCCACCCCCCATTTCCCATCAAGAAAATAAAACTACAGGAGCTCCAACATTTGAATGAATTTGAAATTTTTTTTTTTAATTTTAAGTAGTTATAGCAATATAATAACAAGCGGCCAATGAACCATAATGCTGATTTTCCTCTTTAATCATAAAAAAAATTGTTTCCATTGGTAATATCCAAAATCAAACTTACAGAGATCTATGATTTCATTGAAGTTGAATCCACATAACATTGGAATGCTTTAATATCAATATAATCAACACGGCCCTGTTGTTTTGCAGATTTTTTCCTGTACACATGGATAATGTAAATTTTGGGCCTCTGATTTCAAATAAATAATTTCAAAAAATAGATAATCAAAGATTAAGAAGCTCACCTCCAAGAATGTTATCTGTAAGTAAGGCAAATATTTTACATCATTTTTTTCCCTAGTTAGTTTGCATCCCAAGATCAAAATCCATGCAAGTTTGGTTTCAGTAGGACATAAATGCATCATCCATGCTAGTTTCATTCAGGTAGAGCTAATATTCACTCATTTGAAATAATGTAGGTCAGATCCAGGATCTGAAGCAAGTCTGGTAGTGCACATTTCTAGATACACCATCCCTGCAAGTTTTATTTTCAGATAGGGCTGATAGTTATTTTGAAATGAAATTGCTTCTCAAACTTTAACTGAGATGGTAATGCCAGCACCAGTCCTGGAGTATAGCATTAGCTCATCTAGACTTTGTGAAGGTGAGTAAGGGCATTAACCCAGACATGCTAAAATGCCAGCTGTAGGTTCTTTTGAAATACACATTTTTTTCTCTAATCTTTAGTATTAGTTTCTCAACTTGAAAGTATCTTTAGGCTTTGTTGAATTTATATATACCTGTGATGAAGATAACTTCTGCTGACAACGTCGCTTCTTGTGCATCCACATATTATCCCGTCGTACACGAGAAAAACAAACTGGGCAGTGTGAAAACGGACCATCAGTCATTCCCTGTAATTTTCTGGGAGGTATTAATGTTCCTCTTCCTAGCTGAAATATTCGTTTATTGTGTTCATTGTTTCCTTTAAAAATCAAGTTGGAAAATACTTCTCTCTTTTCTTTTGATTGCTTAGAATACTTCAGGGCTCTTTGCACTTCTGACTCGGTGCTGTGTTTTTCCTCAAAGTGCCTATACATTTTGATTTTTAACTGCTTGCAATAAAAACAACAATTTTGTTTAAGAAGTTTCTTCTTTCCGTTCCACCTTGTTTGCCACTTGATTTTATTTCCTGAATCCCCTGCATTGTTAGATGGCTCTGTGGATTCTTGTATAGTCATTTCGTCATTTGTTTGGTTGTTGGCTGATCCATTTTGTCGAGAGCCTCCCCTTCCAGACTTGGTCTTGTCGGACATTGACATACACTCACAAAGAGTTTCCTTCTGCCAAAAAAGAAATTAGGACTCACATCAATCTTTTCTACCAAATCTCTGCAACTTCATTTTTTTTTCTTCAGCATTAAAAGAAATAATGTGCAAACTAAATAAAAAAAATAACATTGTATCGTCAATGTCTTCCTCTAATTTTGTACACTATTTTGTCTATTTAGTGCAAAAGGATTCACAGACCCCTTTTAAGTAGTTATTGTCCCTGAAAGTTTTCAATCTTTACATTAAAATAATCTTTTTTTTAAAAAAAAGGTTAATTGTAGTCTTGAATCTTTAACCCTGAAAAAGTCAAGAATATTCAAAATATGAGAAATTTAGCTCTTTTCATAACTCTTTTGGCTTTCAACGTTATTGCATGTTAAACAAGAGGCCCAGGGGCCACATCGCTCACCTGAGCACTATGGCTAGGAAAAAGCAGAAATCACTTCAATCTTGAAAGGTTGAAAAGTTTAAATATAAAAGTGGTTGGGGGGGGGGGGTGTCAGGAATTGAACAAATTTGAATCTACATTATCTGAGGATGCTTCCATTTAAATATGACCAATCATGGCTTTGCTGTTCTTGAGTAGAAGATTTTTAAAGATTTAACCTATGTATTCCTATGTAAAACTTTGATCACCCATTGTGGCCCCACCCGACCCACAGGGGTCATGTTTGAACAAACTTGAATGTACACTATCTAAGAATGCTTCCATATAAATATGACCAATCATGGCTTTGCTATTCTTAACAAATAGTTTTTTTTAAAGGTTTTTACTATGTGTTCCAATGTAAAACTTTGATGGCCCATTGTGGCCCCACCCGACCCCCGGGGTTCATGATTCGAACACATTTGTATGTACACTATCTGAGGATGCTACCATATAAATATGACCAATCATGGCTTTGCTATTCTTAACAAATTGTTTTTTTTTTTTTAGAATTTTTACTATGTGTTCCTATGTAAAACTTTGATCGCCCATTGTGGCCCCACCCGACCCCCGGGGGTCATGAGTTGAACAAATTTGAATGTACACTATCTGAGGATGCTACCATATAAATATGACCAATCATGGCTTTGCTGTTCTTGAGAAGAAGATTTTTACTATGTGTTCCTATGTAAAACTTTGATCGCCCATTGTGGCCCCTACCGACCCCCGGGGGTCATGAGTTGAATAAATTTGAATGTACACTACCTGAGGATGCTTCCATGTAAATATGAGCAATCATGGCTTTGCTGTTCTTGAGAAGAAGATTTTTAAAGATTTTTCCAATATATTCCTATGTAAAACTTTGATCGCCCATTGTGGTCCCACCCGACCCCCGGGGGTCATGAGTTGAACAAATTTGAATCTACACTACCTGAGGATGCTACCATATAAATATGACCAATGATGGCTTTGTTGTTCTTGAGAAGAAGATTTTTAAAGATTTTTCCTATATATTCCTATGTAAAACTTTGATCGCCCATTGTGGCTCCACCCGACCCCCGGGGGTCATGATTTGAACAAATTTGAATCTACACTACCTGAGGATGCTTCCATGTAAATATGACCAATTATGGCTTTGCTGTTCTTGAGAAGAAGATTTTTAAAGATTTTTCCTATATATTCCTATGTAAAACTTTGATCGCCCATTGTGGCCCCACCCTACCACCGGGGGTCATGATTTGAACAAACTTGAATCTACACTACCTGAGGATGCTTCCAAGTAAATATGACCAATCATGGCTTTGCTGTTCTTGAGAAGAAGATTTTTGAAGATTTTTCCTATATATTCCTATGTAAAACTTTGATCGCCCATTGTGGCCCCACCCGACCCCCGGGGGTCATGATTTGAACAAACTAGAATGTACACTATCTGAGGATGCTACCATATAAATATGACCAAGTATGGCTTTGCTGTTCTTGAGAAGAAGATTTTTAAAGATTTTTCCTGTATATTTCCTATGTAAAACTTTGATCACCCATTGTGGCCCCACCCTACCCCCGGGAGTCATGATTTGAACAAACTTGAATCTACACTACCTGAGGATGCTTCCACATAAGTTTCATGTTTTCAAGCACAGTGGTTCTTGAGAAGAAGATTTTTTAATGATGCCATTAATTTTTCACAAATTCTTAATTATCTCCCCTTGGAAGAGGGCGTGGCCCTTCATTTGAACAAACTTGAATCCCCTTTACCCAAGGATACTTTGTGGCAAGTTTGGTTGAAATTGGCCCAGTGGTTCTTGAGAAGAAGTCAAAAATGTGAAAAGTTTACAGACGGACGGACAGACGGACTACAGACAAAATGTGATCAGAAAAGCTCACTTGAGCCTTCGGCTCAGGTGAGCTAAAAAGCCTTTTTAAAACAAATTTAAAATATCCTTTCTTGAACCCTAAGCTTGACCTTTGCCAGCTTACTTATGAATTCATAAGCACTGTCCAAAACTGATATAAAATTTCAGAAGATCTTGTGCGAGTGTTAGAATGTTCCCTCTCCTGTTTATGGAGGAATAAAGGGGAACAGTGAAATTCATGAATTACCATCCATGCACCATAAGGTGATACAAGTACCAAACAAAACAGAAAATCCCATCTTTGCTTTTTTGAGCATATATCTATATCTATCTATATATATATATCTATATCTATATCTATATATATATATATATATATATATATATATATATATATTTTTATTTTTTTTTGAAATCTTGTTGATGTAAAATGTCCAAAAAAGGTGAAAATTTTATAATGCAATGCTGATTATTCTTCATTTCAGACAACTTGCCCACGATTTCATGGACAACTCTCATTATCATTAAGTTAGTAGCTGCAAAGATATAACCTGATTTTACCTTAAAAATATCCATATCTATCATCCATTTTATCATATGACATATTGAAAATGCAGTCTGCATGCTTTTAATTACATCCCCTTGGAAAAAAGTATTACTATTACCCTAGAATCTTAATTTCAACAAGAGGCCCATGGGCCACAATGCTCACCTAGGTAACTTTGGCCCTACTGTTCTTCACCTGGTTTTCCCCTATGGAATATGTATTGTGGCCCCACCCTATCCCCGGGGGTCATGATTTGAACAATTTAGAATCTACACCACCCCAAGATGCCTCAATCCATATAATTTTCAGCTTTTCTGGCCCAGTGGTTCTTGAGAAGATTTTTAAAGATTTTTCCTATATATTTCAATGTAAAACTTTGATTCCCCATTGTGGCCCCATCCTACCCCTAGGGATCATGATTTGAAGAATGTAGAATCTACACTAACCCAGGATGCTTCCATATAAGTTTCAGTTTTTCTGGCCCAGTGGTTCTTGAGAAGAAGATTTTTTAATGACCCCAACCTATCTTTGTCATATCTTGATTATCTTCCCTTGTAAGGGGGCTTGGCCCCTCATTTTGACAATTTAAATTTCCCTTCTCCCAAGGGTGCTTTGTACCAACTTTGGTTAAAATTGGCCCAGTGGTTCTTGAGAAGAAGTTGAAAATGCGAAAAGTTTACAGATGGAAGGACAGACAGCTAGACAGATGGATGGACAACAGGTGATCAGAAAAGCTCACTTGAGCTTTCAGCTCAGGTGAGCTAACAAGAGACCCATGGGCCACATCGCTCAACTGAGCACATTGGCTAGGAAGAAGTAGAAACAAGTTCAAAGGGGTGGTGGGGGTAGGGAGGGGAGGACTTAAATTTACACTACCTCAGGATGCTTCTATATCAATAGTACTAATCATCACTTTGCTGTACTTTGACAGAAGAATTTTGAAAAAATTTTCCCTATGTATTCCTATGTAAAACTCTGATTGCTCCACCCTACGCACCCTAAATTTGAACAAATTTGAATCTATATTAATACCTGAGGATGCTTCTATAATTATACCATATAAGCAGAATTTTTTAGCGAGGATTCAATTTTGGCATTATTAGCTAGGGTTTTGAGATCACTAAAATTGAATATCGCTAACAATTAAACTTACCTCTCCCTAATAAATTATATACCATTTTTTTAATAAACAGCTAAATTTGCAACTCACTAAAAATTCCACTTAAATGGTAATATGACTAATCATTGCTTTGCTGTTCTGAGCAGCAGATTTTTTCAAGATAATTCCTACATACACATATTCTTATGCAAAACTTTGACCCTCTGTAGTGCCCCCCAACTCCTGGGGGTCATAATTTGAACAAACTTGATTCTACATACGTAAGGTTGCTTCTGTATAAATATGACTAATAATGCCATAGTTGTTCTTGAGAAGAAGATTTTAAAGATATTTCCTATGTAATGTGTATTAACAGGTTCCTACAAGGGATATATCAGTTTACCTTTTACTTTGTCTGAGTTAATGATTAGAATGATTATGTAGACAACTCTGTCTGAGGGTATATCACACAGTACTTAAATTTTTTTTAATCTAGAGACGGGGACTGGGTAAGGTGCAACTTGCACCGTTTTTCATCCCTAGGTTCCCATTGATAGATAAGAATGGGGTGTCTCAACCTTCTTCAGATTTATTACACCCAAACTTAACATCAATTCCCTAGGATACTTGCCATTGGTGTTTTTTTATTGCTGATTCAACGTCCGACTTCTTCAGCTAGCTTCTGAATGCCTGACATTCCCAAAGCTTTGCCTTATATACCCTTTGGCTAGTCCATTTCAAGGGTTGTCAGGTCATTCCACAATTCTACACTACCTGAGGATACTTCTACACATTGTATTTATATGACTAATAATGGCTTAGCTGTTCTTGAGAAGAAGTTTTTTTAAAGTGATTTCCTATATATTCCTACAGTAAACTGTGACCCCCTGTTGTGGCCCTGCCCTACCCCCAGGGGTCATAATTGGAACAAATTTGAATCTTCACTACCTGATGATATTTCTATTCAATGTTTTGCTGTTCTGGAGAGGAAGTTTTTACAGATATTTTTTTTTTATATATTCCTATGTAAAACTTTGACCCAATATTTTGGCCCAGCTCTACCTCCAGGGGTTATCATATGAACAAAGCTGAATCTATAGCATGCAATGAAGCTTTCTCTTAAGTTTCATATTTTCTTGCCCAGTGGTTCTTGAGAAGAAGATTTTTAAAAGGTGCCACCAAAGTTCCCCACATTCTTAATTATCTCCCCATGAAAGAGGACGTGGCACTTCTTGTGAACAAACTTAAATCCCCTTCACCCAAGGATGCTTTGTGGCAAGTTTGGTTCAAATTGGCCCAGTGGTTCTAGAAAAGAAGTTGAAAATGTGAAAAGTTTACAGATGGTACACACTCTCTGATCAGAAAAGCTCACTTGAGCCTTTGGCTCAGATGAGCTGAAAACAAAAAAAAAAAATTATTCCTTTCATGTAAGTGCACTCTCTCCTAGGAACTTCTCCTTGGGGATTTTATAGAAAAAGATCGCCAAAAAAAACCTATACTATTTTAGTTATTTTTTAGCTTTGTAAAGGAGTAAGCTTTACAACTTCATAAATAAGTTCCTTTTATTTTAAGATACATACAGTAAAACTCAGCTATAGTGAAGTCCTGGGGACCTGCAAATTTACTTCGCTATATCTGTAATTCGTTATATCCGTATAACAATTTTGTTAAAGTATATATAGGAATTTCCAATTGCAATATAGACTTTTTCCCTTCAAGTAAGACTATGAAATGTATTTTTGGAACTATTTTAAAATACTAGAGTTTGGAGTTCAAAAGCTTTCAGATGATTTAAATTCAAATACAAAAACACAAAAAATACCAGATCAATATTTCAAAGTTGATATCTTTGGGAATTTGTTATAAAAGATGTAAATTTTATTAATTTTAACCTGTAGGGGATACACAATAAGTTCGTTATATCTGTAAATTCGCTGTATCTGAGTTCATTATATCCGTAAATTTTTACAAAGAATTGTTAAGAATTTTGCCAGGGATATCAAAAAACTTGGTTATATCCATACAATCGGTATATCCATGTTCGTACTAAACGAGTTTTACTGTAGTACCTGGTTTGTTAATGTTAAAGACTTTCTGCTTCTAAAAAAAGAACAATTTAAAAATGAAAACATGCTATGAAAAGTTTTTTTTTTAAATTACTCCTTTGAAAAATGTACAGACCTAAATTTTATTTCATTTGAATGCCCTCTATCAAGGAATATTTTGCACTTTGTTTAGTTAACAAGGGCAAAATGGTTCTGGATAAGTCAGTGATATGAAAAATTGGTCACATTGGAGGGACGAGCTATAACAAAACATCAAAGGAGCTTCTGTAATCTCTCAGCTCAGATTATACATGTATCTAACTAATGGACAGCTTACTTTTGGGGAAGGAGACAGTAGAAGTTTTTTCTGACATCTTTTGAGGTGAGACTGGAGTACCCGGTAGAGACCGTAACAAAACTGGCACACCTCCATCTGACTAGCATCCCTATATCCACGTGTGTTCTGAACCAACAATTCCCCCCTCCCTCTCTCTAGGACTGCCTTATTGTGCAGGAAACAGAAGCTGTTCCTTATATCTGTCCAACCTTGTTTTCTCTCAGCTGAACCTTTTGGGTGTTTAAGCGTGTCTCTTACAATAGGTTCATTTGAATGTTTCTTCTGGAGATGACGTGAGAAATGACAGGGAACAATGAGACAGAATGCACACATCAATCCACCATTATGTTGCTTTTCATCAACAACAGTGATCTGTCCATTCCTTGGGACCTGTTTGAGTTTCTCATTTACTGTTTTTATCATTGCCTCTGAGATCTCTAATGAACCACATCTTGAGTCTTCTTCTTCCTCCTCTGTCATTTCATCATCAGAGACATCATTCACCTGAAATCATCCACATGTCAATCAGTGTTCAACATCACATGTACAGAAATTAAGCAGGTTCTGCATGAAGCTTTGATATCAATCACTGTTATAAATTCACAACTTCATAATAAAATATTTTGACTTTCCTTTTGAAATACAGTTTTCATTCATTTTCAATTTCATTTTTAAAATAATATACTTCTGTTAAGATGTACCTCAATAATTACACAAGAATAAACAAACTGTTAGGCAGAAGCTTCAAATGTTTTTTCAGTTACAAATTTAAGGAACAGATATGAATTCTATACTTGCTCTGTTCATGACCTTGGACTTAATCTACTGTCCTTGGGTCAACATAACCACAAAGATCAAGTAGCTGAGCCTTCTCTGTCAAGTCTGAACTTCCAATATTTTTCCGTTACAAAGTTAGAGCTGAACACAATTTTTTTTTACTTCTGATTTTTGCATGTGTGAACAGGTGAGGGTCACTGAATATCCTCAGATGATATTTTCAATTACTATAAGCTTCCAAAGTCTTATCATTATAAAGATATATGTTAAGGAAAGAAATCACAAGAAAAATTCTTTGACCTTGCAAAAATGAACTTGGGTCTAAATCGGGAGAAAAGATAGACAACAACACTCATCTCACAAAATTTTAAAATAAAATTTCTAATTGTGATCATCAATTTAAGAAAATGAATTAAATATTTTAATTCACAGTATATTATGGAGTTCATAAATTGGGACTTTCTAGGTAATTCAAATATTGTTCTGCATAAAGCTTAGCTCCCCAGAGGAGGAGGAGGGAATCATGATTTAAGATGACAATGATATCAATGTGATCAATGGTGAACCTTTTCTACAATAAAAGTTTGTCCCTGCCTAGCAACAAGGCTCAAGAATTTAAAAACAGTCCTAACCCTATATGTGGACCTTTTGTTTTTGAGATATTCCCCAATGTTAAAAAACCTTTTGACTCTATATAGTGTCCCCACCTTAGCCCCTTGGCCATATGGGTCATTTTTAAACAAGTTTAAATCTATTTACATGAGGCTGCTTGCATATTAAGGTGACTGTGTCCCAACTATTCTTGAATAAAAGAGCCCCAGAGGCCATCATTTGAACCATAATGAATGTATACTTCATGTATATACTTCTTTTATAATAAAATGGTTAGTGTAGCCCTTCTTTTCTAATTCTTCTGCACATGAAGACACCTTGTGGCAAGTTTGGTTAGAATCTGGAAAGTGGGTTAGAAGTCTAAATTTGAAAAGTTTATCAATTACCCATGACAGATAAATTCTTTGATCAAAAAACAGCAAAATGGACAGAGGTTCTGAATTCATTGCTAACTGTGGCCTACTGGCAGGTCTTTGCCAAGACAGAACATCTTAAAATACCCTCAAGCCTACCAATTTAAAATTAATTTCCTCAGGTGTCTGTCTGCTACAGTGGAGTCTGTGGATGTCCAAGAAGTTCTTATCTGTAAATGTATAGCATGTTGTACAGAACTGTTCTGATGTAAGTCCTTCAATGTTTACAGGTGTTTGTACTGGAATTATTGTTCCCTCTCCTGTCTGTAGCACTTCGTCGTTGTGGCGACGCAATCCCTCATCAATCATTTGCTGTAGCTTTTGTCTCCGTTTCAATGTGTTCTTTCCATACTTGTTCATTTCTACCACTCCCATTTCTCTGAAGTGTCTACACTGAAGATGCTCAGCCAGCTTCCATACATTTCTACCACAATACATACACCTGGTTTTTGTTTCACTTTTAATTCCAGGTCTTTGTAAAATAATAGTTATGTTTTCATTATATTGCAATGATTTGATACATGGAGAAGTTCTTACTGCAATTTTCACACTTTCATCAAACATGTTATTTCTCTGGACAGAACTGATACTGTTTTGTACATTTACTGATTTCTTTCTTAAATTATACACGATACTTGCATCAGCCACTTTCTCCTTTGGTACAAAATTTTCACTAATTTGCACATTTACTGGTGATTTATTTCTACAATCCTGTTCCATACTTTGACTGACATCAATCTCTACTGGGCTAACATTTGTACTGTGTTCATCACTCTCATTCTGTTGAAGGCTCTATAAAAAGAGAAGAACCATGGCTTATTAACTTAAATCATATAACTCAGGGTATATCAGTATTATATTATTGAGTAAAAGTAATTTATCACATATCATTTTACCTGACAAAATAAAATGCACTGCAGGAACATGGTTTTCCTGTTCTTGAGAAGTAGATTTTTCTAATCCAAAAATTAGATTGCCCATTGAAGCCCCACCCTATCTCCTGGGGTCATGATTTGAATAAAATTGAATCTACACTACTTAAGAATGCTTCCATATAAATATGACTGATCATGGCTTGTTCTAAAAAAGAAAATGTTTAGATTTTTCCTAAATACCCATGTAAAACTGAAAATCCATGGTGACCCCATCCTTCCCCTGGATGTCATGATTTGAACAAACATTTATCTACACTATGTTAGGACACTTTCATAAGTTTTATCTTTTCTGGCCCAGTGGTTTTTAAGAAGTTTATTTTAAAATGTTTACTTTTTTCCAATTATCTCCCCTTGGAAAAGGGTGTGGTCCTTCATTTAAACAAATTTTAATTTCCTTTACCTAAAAATATTCTGTGCCAACTTTGGTTGCAATTGGCCTAGTGGTGCTGGAGAAGATGAAATTGTCAAGGTAAAAAAATGCTGATGCAGTTGGATAGACCTCATTAATATGTATCAGCATATAAGGTTTGATAAGTTAATTTTACTCTTTGGTTTTGGAGATTTAAAATCTACTATATATTTAACTGTTATCCCCTTGCAATGGAGTTGGAGGGGATATAGTAACACGCTTGTGTGTGTGTGTGATTTAGTTTGTCCTTTGTGCGAAACAGAAGTGATGTAATTTGCATTGGGATCAATGTTGAATGCTGCCTTCATTTATAGATGTGCTCTTTGTTGGGCCCTTGTTCATTTTATATTTACCTCATGCAATCTTGTTTTCTTTTTCTTCATCAGTTTTTTACATCGAGTCAGTTCTGAAGCATACACCTTGAAAAGAGAAAAAAAATAACTCCAATAACAAAATTTCTTAGGATGATTATTAAAGTTGGTTTACTTTCATAGGATTACAATGATAATGGGGAACTAGCCCCAGGCCATAAAACTTAGACAAGCTCACTTTTGATCTCGGTCTCACTTTTCCACTATTAATTCTTTTGGTAAAAGTGAGACTGAGATAACTCGTCTAGATTTTATGGCCCTCAAGCCAGGTTTGGTTTGAATATTTAATATTAAGATTATAATGTTAACAATTGGTTTGGTTTGAATACATGTATTTCTTAGGATTACAAAGCTAATCTAAATTTGTTAGCTTTGAATATAAAATTTCTTTGACTGAATGCCTTTTCCTGTGGTCTACACTAATATAGGACTACTGTAAAAGCAGAAATATTCGTTGGGGATTTAATTTTGTTTATTTCGTTGTTAACAATTCGCAATGAAATTAAATCCCAAATGAAATTTTTATATGACTATAAATTGAATAGTGTTACTTTTAAAACAACGAAATTTAATGCCAACGAAACATTCATAGATGACAAATCAACGAAATTTTATCCCCATGAAAATTTGTTCTTCTACATTATGTAAACAAAATTGAATTCTAAGTGAGAGAAACAGCTTCCAGGGAAATAGGTCATTCCAAGATTTTTCTATGTTTAGCGTCCGCAGACGGATTGGTTTTGAGGTTTTGAAATTAAATACAAATAAAAATTAAAATCAACAAATACAAATCTTTGAAACACAATTTATTCTTTGGAATCCACATCTCTCCTTTTTTTAAGTGGTGTACCAAAAAATTTTTATTTCGATAAACTAGTAGTTTGACTTAATAGCAATGTGAGGAGTATTCTCAAATGATGAAGAAAAATTCTGGAATTGTTCCTAAAATTTTGTGTTTTTCCCCTTTTGGTATGTGTGTTTTTTTTCTGGATAGAAAGATAGTTTTTGAATTTAGGTTGAACGCTAAACAAAGAAAAAAAGTGGAATGACCTTATCTGAAAAAGCAGGGCTGTTGAGACTTCACATTAACCACTTCCGTGCCATGGGGCCGATTTTGGGCCGATCACACAGTTGCATAGAGTGTCATGGGACCAATATGTTCTATTTCCATTAGTGAACTCCTCAAAATTAGAGGCGCATTTGGTCGTTTGACTGGGACATCATGGCATTGCGGATAATACAAAACATGCCAATCTCAATCCAATTTTAAATGTTAAATGTATTTGTCATTCCAAATAAAGAATAGAAGAAATAAAAGACATATGTAAGAGAGCGAGGACCCTAAATTTATCATCCATTAATAAAAATACGACATTTCCGAGGCATGTGTATTGTATTTAGATGTACCATACGATAAATAGATACATATACGATCAACAATAGATATAAATTGATATCGTTGTCATTCCTACTGTTGATGGATATAAAGTCCACAACAGTAAAATATTTCATTTGCATTTTCTTAGGATTTGTTCATCGACATTCAACAAATTGTTTACATGTTTATGTTACGTTTGTCCCAGAAATCCCGCGAGATTTGTACATTTTCCGACTTTCTCACAAAAGAGCGCATTAAGAAGTATAACTCTTCCAAAGTGGAAATAGAACGTATTTTGAGCCGATTTTATTGAACTGAATTGTGGCCATGTATTTCTTTTACTTTTATTTAATGTAAATAATTGTTTAACTTTAGACCTTTTTATTGTATAACTTTGGAGTGTTTCATGATTTATTTGTAGAATATCATTAAAATTGAACAAAATAAAATACACATCACTGATGACTTCATGAAATTTTTCAGATGAATGAATTGTTATTCAAATAATTTTTATTGAATATGCTAAATGAAATGTTTATTGTACATGATTTCTTCATGCTACTAAAAAATTCATTCAATTTAAACGATTTACACTTATCTATTTACAGCAATGGTTAGAATCAACATTTTTTAAGTAAATGACATCATAATAACAAGTATGTGCAAGTAAAAACCTTGAGACCAATTTTATCGTTTACCAGTAATTCAGGCCCTCAAAAATACTACCTATGAATACGCATAGATTGGTGGTAGGGGTGGGGATGGGGGTTGGTGGTGTCAGCCCCCCCCCCCCCCCATTAAAAAATGTATATAGATAAATGACGTTGGACCCTTAAAGAAACGCACATCACATTCGGAAGTGTGAAATATATCAATAAAAGTGGATCCCCCTCTTCCCCTCATGAAATAGGATTTTGTGATAAGAGGATTTTTCCCCTTGTATAAAATATCTGAGTTGGGTATAATAAATCATAACTGAATAATATTGTCTTTCATTAAATATTTTATTTTGTTATGTAGGTAGAAATTGTATGCAATACTTTTTAAAGAACAAATTAAATGCTGTTCCCTGTATCGTCTTGTTTCCTGTTTTTGACTGTATTGTATTTTTGATCTATTTTTCCAGATTTTATGTAGTCCTATAATATGCAGATACCACACACGGTTGCCAAACTAAAGCATAGAAATAAGTATATTGTGAAGATAATCAATTGAAAGTAAATTATTTCAAAGATTGTTTTTGTCAATTTTCGTCTGAAATTCTGATCTCTTAACTAATAATTATTTTCATGTGTTCCATATTAATATTATGTAGATTTTTTTAAGCAATAAAAAAAAGATGCATGGACACAATGTTTTACTGTGAAAGGGTTGATCAGATGATTTTTCCCCATGAAGATACACCATTTTTCTTCCAGAATTTTAGTGAAAAATAACAATGTAATTTCATTGAAAATCTCAGTGGAGAAAATGTGACCAATGAATGAAATTTGTTCGTTTCTTAAAACTGTTTTGTTTTTAGGTTTTTTTTTTTAAATACAAATGATCTTTTTTTTTCCTTTGCATAGGATATCCTAGATATTCCCTATCAATTTTGACCGGAAGTTCACATTATTTAAATTTTTGCTAATGTTTTTTTCCTTTGAATTAATGCTATTAATGCATGAGATAATGTTATTTTGGGGCTATGAAATAAAAAAAAAAACAATTGTTTGAAAATCTAAATTGCAATTGAAGCTTGCCTAGAGTGCACTCTGCTGAAAAAATATAAGAAAAATTAAAACAAGAAAGAACTGTTACAACAGAAACAAACAAATTGAAAAAAACTAAACTGCATATACTTCTTTAAACCTCTTTAATTTTGAGGGGATTATTTGATCATTTTCACTCTTGCTTTTGGCCAAAAATGTGAAATAGCGTATAAGTATTCAACCACTATGTTTCAACACAAGATGGGGGAAGGGACAACCATAGTTAAATAAAAAAAATATATACATTAAATATAAATTAAATATATAGCTATTGACTATTCCTTAAAAAATGGGTGTAACTCGATCCAACCCCCACCCCTTCCAAGCAGTAGTACTCACCTGTAATAAAAATCGCAATTCTTAACATCATTTTTCTACATTTATTTAAATTGTATTTTGATCTGGTGACAAATAAGATTTGCTTTGAATTTTTAGCATTATCTGTGGCTGACAAGTGACAATTTGAGAAACATTGATGCTTGGAAGAGCAAAATATAGCCTTGGTATGGACAAAATCATATATATCAGGTCAAATTTCCTCTTAGGACTGAAAATGGGGTAATGGATATTGCTGGTTAACATTTCAGAGTTTTTTGTGAGTCATGCAGATAGTAGATAACAGAGGGAAGACAGATGGATATCCATTAACCCCCCAGTTATCAACACATCCAATGACCAGATACAGAAATTTGTATTCTAGATACTTGTTCCTAGATCTTACCTTATTTGACCTTGTCCTCAGTCCTGATGATCTTAAGGACATTTTACAGGAAGCTGTCATTTTCTCACTTAATCTTGATTTCTGAAACAAAGCAAATTGTATTATATAAAAGATCAGTAAACTCTCTATAAACAATAAGGCTATAGTTTACTGGTCTCTAAGGTTCAGGGTTCCATCTGCAGAAATTAGTCATTGGGGTTACTTATTCAGAATTAATGTCACAACCTTGATATACCGTAATTTTGGGGGTATATGTCGATGGGGTATATAGGTCGAAAGGCTAATTTTTAGCTCTAATTTTTAAAAAATCCATAGATAGGGCAAATTCGGATCATAGGACGAGGCGTTGTTTATTGATTTTCTAGAGAATCTCATGTGGATACTATGTACATGTATCAGAACATGTGAACTTCTTGGCTTACCCCCTGATATTATCGTATTGAGAAAATAAAATGGTATTTTAATAGTGTTCTATATATATAAAAAAACGTTTCTTTTGTTGAAACTTCCTTGAATTCTGCTATACAACATATTTTCTCCAACTTGCCTGTTCAATGCCGTCCTAGTTTGACTCTGTCGTTAAACAATATCCATAAATACAGTAGTCTAAGACAGCTATAAATTAGGGAAATACCCCAGACCAAACAATAATTATTTCCATATTTAAACTTCGCTGACAAATTCTTAATATATTTTATTTAAGCATTATTTACAATATTAACTAAGATGACCACCATTTTTATATATCTTATCGAGGGATTTGCTAAAGCACGCAAATGACTATTACATGTAATAGTGAGCAATTGAAATTAATCGTATTTTCATGCTATAATTTGGCCTGTGATATTGTTGTAAAAATAAATTTAATTAAGAGTACATTCACAATTTACCAGTCATCATGAATTTCACAGCTTTGTATGTTCAATGATGTTTAGCACTAATACCCCTATTATGGCACATGCTATTAATCATGTCCGGCAGGTGGTTGTACACAGTGTATATCCCTTTCACTATCAGACAATTAAAATTCAAACAGAAGCCAATCTTTGAATAAATCAGTGTCCCTCTTGGGTACAAGGAAGATAAGTGCATTTTATTAGTTAATTAGATATGAAATAAGTTTATGACTAGCGGTGTATTTGATAAATAAATTTGGGAATTACTGCATGTGGCAACAATTTATTTCACGCATTTTATATTTTAAAAATATCACAAGACAATGAAAAAAAATTTAGGTAGCTATTTCAATTCATCGTTACAAATAAATGGCTAAAAAATCAAAAAAAAGATGATGATTATTCTTCCAATTGCGATTGTAAAAACTTCTATGTATTTTAAATTTTGATACGGTTGCGGTTTTATTTTTAGTGAAAAAGTGCGACTTCCAACTTCTCAAGATGGAGACAGATAGCATGTTGTAAAATATACATTGATGAAACATTATTTAGGAGATTATTAAATTTTTTTTTGGTTATATCGATGGATATTGAATGGAACTTAATTTGCAAGAAATCAATAGAATACATATTTAATTCTTTATTGTGTATTATTTTTTCTCGGTAAAATAATTCAAAATGTTACCAAAATTGTGCAGATTTGTTTTAAAATTGATGTAAATTTTACAGATTTTGGGTCATTTTACTTAAAATTGAGCCTTAGAAAGGTTGATTCTTTAAATAGGATGACCCCAACTGTTCTGAGAAAAAAAGTATCAACCTACATATCTCTTCCAAAAATTACGGTAATCCTCTTCTAACTGAACTATCATTGTCCTTTTTGTAACAAAATTTGTAAGCCAAAGAAATCCAGAATTGCAAAGTCTACCTGATGGCCGTTATTGAATGTTTTCTATTTACATAGTTACCTTTGCTTTTTCTGGTGCTCAATGGCTTTCTCTAACTTCATTGTGTTACATGTTTGCTATCTACATACCTTTGCTATTTCTGGTGTTTTTATTGACTTTCTTGACTTTGTCGGATACATCACTTTGTCTCCTTTTTCAAGGCAAACCTGAATAGGTTAATCAATGTTTTTTACAAGATCAAAAATCAATAATCAAAAACTTTAATAACAAGAGGCCCATGGGCCACAATGTTTTCAGTTCAGGTAAGCTAAAAATATAAGAATTCAAACAATATTTTAAATTTTATTTCCCATTGTCTAAAGCTTTCAAAGTTTTTCATTTTTGTGTGTTTGGACTTCAAACACACTGAAATGAAAAACTGGAGTTTTCCCCCTTCATTGGAATAAACATGAATGGTGCTAAGAATGGTAAACGTCCTACCTGGAAGTTTACTACTTACCTGACCTATATCCATTTCGACCTTGATCTCTTGTGGTTCACTGTCATCACTCTCCTCCCAAAGGTCACTCCCAGACTCCAAATATTCCTCCTCAGATTCTGGCTGGTACTCATCAGAGGAGGATAGAAAATCTCCATCAGAGCTCGCTTCCTCCTGACAATAAAATAAGGGTTGTAAGTTCTTCAATTCATAGTCACAATAAATCAACTACAGGTACTTAGAAACTTAGATCACAAACTAGAAATATGTCCATAGGACATGAATGCCCCGCCACGGGTATATTAGTAATGCAACATTTTAACACAAATTGAGAAAAGTGAGGTCAAGGTCAAAGGAAAGGTCAAGGTGAAAAAATATTGATGCAGTTGAATAGCTTACATTAGTATGTATCAGCATATGAAGTTTGACACAAATTTAAGAAAAGAGAGGTCAAGGTCAAAGGAAAGGTCAAGGTCAAAAATTGTTTATGCAGCTGAAAAGGTTACATTAGTATGTATTAGCATATGAAGTTTGATAAAAATATCATGAATGGTTTTAAAACTCAGCTAAACACTAATTTAAGAAAAAAGAGGTCAAGGTCAAAGGAAAGGTCAAAGTCAAAAAATATTGATGCAGTTGAATAGCTCTCATCAGTATGTATCAGCATATAAAGTTTGACACTAATTTCAGAAAAGTGAGGTCAAGGTCAAAGGAAAGGTCAAGGTCAAAAATGTTGATGCAGTTGAATAGCTTACATCAGTATGTATCAGCATACGAAGTTTGATAACACTAACTTAAATGGTATCTTTAAAACTGAGCTAAAAACTAATTTAAGAAAAGTGAGGTCAAGGTCAAAAGAAAGGTCAAGGTAAAAAATATTGATGCAGTTGAATAGCTCTCATCAGCATGTATCAGCACAAGAAGTTTGTTAAAAATATCTTGAATGGTTTCATTAAAACTGAACTAAACACTAATTTAAGAAAAGTGAGGTCAAGGTCAAAAGAAATGTCAAGGTCAAAAAATGTTGATGCAGTTGAATAGCTTACATCAGTATGTATCAACATATGAAGTTTGATTACACTATCTTGAATGGTATCTTTAAAACTGAGCTAAACACTAATTTAGGAAAAGTGAGGTCAAGGTCAAAGGAAAGGTCAAGGTCAAAAAATGTTGATGCAGATGAATAGCTCTCATCAATATCTATAAGCATATGAAGTTTGATAAAAATATCTTGGATAGTTTTTTTGAAATTGAGCTTTGAACAGAGCTAAACGCAAAGTGTGACAGAAGGACAGACGGAAGGACGGAAGACAGACATGACAAACACTATATGCCCCGGCCATATTCATGGCGGGGCATAAAAATGATACCCCAACTACCATAATACTGTATGTGTACTTTAAAAAGCGGGCTTCATATTTTAGTGGCTTTGGCGCAGACAACAATGCGCTAATTCATGAATACCACTAAGAAATCATTTATAAATACAATATACAGCATGGACATGTATAGCACTAATTCATGATTTCGCCAACAACTCCATACCTAGTTATTGCACTAAATTTTGAATGCATAAATTTATGTACACATACAGCAGTATAACAAAAAGGTACATTTCTTAGCAGTATGTAAATTTTTTGTAAGTTCCACTGAATTTCATTCAGGGATATAGAAGGAGATGCATTAACAAAATGGCTACCCTCTGTATTGAGTACTATGAAAGTCTCATTAAATTTTATTCAGTGGTATAGGGGGAGTCTGGGATAAAAGATTGGTACTCCCAAGTGTACCAAGATCAATAGGGTTGCAAATAACCACTTGCAGATGCAAGTAATTTTGTCTATGTGCAAGCAAATCTTGAGTATGTAATAGCCAATAGCGAATATGAATAATATCAGAACTTTTCTGGAACTCAACCATAGCTTGCTTTCACTATTTATCGCACTTTCGTTTTCCCTATTTCCTACCTACAAAACATTTTTCTAGAGCCTGAATCTCGTCATTATTTCTATGTGGTATCAATTATCAAAGTAATCATGGAAACAGGTGATGTTGAAATCCACAGAAAAACTAGAAATCTGACCAGTCAGCAAGGGCCCCGCCGAGGGGTAGAAATATAAGGGTGCAGATTAGGGGATGAGAATTTTACTTGATTACAAAAATTTAAAAATATATAAAGAAAAATAAGCAACAGCAACTGCTATATATCCAACACCTGTAAATAATTTCCTTGTATTTATATAAGGCAGTAAAAAACATCTTATCTATAACTCAATTAAATGTATATTTAAAGTTACATAATGAGTCAAAACCATGTGTTTCTTTTAAGAAAATTGTATCACAAAACTAAAGATTTCTGTGAAATATAAATATAGCAACGTTTCGACAACTCAACTGCGTGGTAAAGCAAGAAAAAACCTGCAAAAATAAGTGCTGGAAAAACAAATGTTGTATCTATCGCTTTGTTTTTATCGTCAATGTCATCAATGTCAAGGTCATGTGTCCTTTATTTTTAGTGTGAAACTTGTAAACAACATTGAATTGGGGCAAGCAGAAGTAAGGGATAAGTTATGATCATCTTTTTTGAAGATTGTATCAAAATTCTCAGTCATCGGACATTTATATCTATTAAATTGAAACCCTGGTAAATTCTTCAACTTTTCAGCGCATGCATACAATAAAGAGGAAAAAGTGAAGCAATATTTTTGTGACGGGTTATACAAAGATTTTTTTTTTACTTTTATTTTTCTCCATTAAATTCGATTTTTTAGGTTTTAAAACCTGTAATTTTCTGAAACCTAATATCTTCAAGAACTGAACAAAATTTGCATGTGTCATGCAAAAATTCTACTGTTGTTAATTTTCCCGTTTGTCCGTCACAGTGTCACTTTAAAGAAGAATGTGTTTTCTAAAATGCCAGCCTTCAGTGAATGCAATTATCACCCTGGCTTGACCTTAACTTCAAAACAAACATCAGTTGTGGACAAAGGTGTAATCAAACTTAAAGTGACAGAAAGATTACCCTCTAAAATTTTCTGCAAGCAGCAAGATAATCAAACCCAGGGGATTAATTATACTGCTCTCTCAACCTTTTCTTCTAAGTTTACAATAAGAACTTTTTCAGCAATGATAGAATGAAGTTATTATCTGAATACCTGTTAAAATAAATAGTATGCTTGAATTTACATAAGGCAGGAAAAAAAAAGAAAGGAAAAAAATATGAAATAATAATAAAAAAGATATCTTTATCTATATCTTGTTTTTAGTATTCAATAAAATCATAACCCATTGTGTATTTTACCAAAATAAAGTATGAACATTATTTAAATCCACATTTCAGAGAATGTAAACATCATTTAGAATTGACCTTAACTTCAAAACAAACTTCATTTGTAGACGGAAGTGTTAATTAATCTCAATGTGCCAGATAAAGATAAATGCTTTGGATTTTCTTCCAAGAAAGAAGTTAATTAATCCCAAAAGACTCATTGCAGCCTTTCATAGTTTACAATAGGAACATTCTCAGCAGTTAGCTCTCTTTGCCCATTCACTCTTATATAAAGTAAAGGAATCTACCCCACCACCCCAGCCCCAAACCAGATGACACAGAGAACCAAAATTAGCATCAAAATATGTCTTACTGCCTATTCAACCAACATACAAAATTTGAAGTTAATTGGTCAACCCTAAAAAAAGTTATCAGAAAAAAACAGAAAATTTGTGGACGGAAGAATGACAAACGGACAGACAGACGGACGGACAGACAGAGTGATTACTATAGGGCACCCGCAAATCCTTGCCAGGCCCTAATGAAAGACTGTAGACAGCAAAGTTCAAGTACTTCTCAAAGATTTTGATATGAAAAGATCGAGATTTTTTACGAAATGAACAGAAAGTGGTGGACCATAAAATATCAATGAGCTAGTAAAACTTGTAAAGTTGGGTGCCCACATGGTTCCTGAAGTTTTGAAAATAATTGAAATCCTGAACCAACATGGTTACATATTCATACATCAGTCACATCTTAAACAACTTTTGAAAAGGTAAAAATTAATTTTTCATGATGCTGTTTTAGCAATTTTGTTTATTGCACTGTTTGATATGTCTGAACAAAATACATGTATCAGTAATTGCCATCAATGCAGGAAACATGGTGGTTAAGCAAAAAAAAATTATAGATTAGATGTTCAAAATATTTGAAACGAAAGGCCTGTGGGCAACATCACTCACCTGAGCATATTGGTTAGGAAAAAGCAGAAATCAGCTTATAGTATTAGAAAGAATAAATATATAAGTGATCCCATATCCCCCCCCCCCCCCCCCCCCCCCCCCCCCCCCCGGCCATGATTTTGTCTTCACAGGAAATGCAAATCTTAAATATAAATAGCCTGGTCAGGGATCGAAATTAACTTTTTTGACCACTAGCAAATTTTAGCTAGTGGATTTTTTCTTTACTAGCAATATTGAACTTTCACTAGCATTTTTTCTTCACATATAGTAATTAACATAGGGATTATTTGAATAATTTCGTAGAAAACTAATTTACACCTAAATGTGAGTTAATTTAGGTCATTTTATACAAGATGAAATCTGAATAGATACAGGGGTGTGCAATTAAAAAATTCAACTACTAGCCCACAGACTAGTAGTATTAGCATCAATAAAATCACTAACACCGAGTAAAATGTTACTAGCTCAAACGTAGGGGACAACTAACAATGAAAGAAAAATAGTTTATCGTTGAAAAAGTCAGGGTCTTAAGGTAATTCTTTTTAAAATTAAAGTTTAACTCTCACTCTCTCTCTCTCTCTCTTGAATAGCAAAAAAAATGAATAAAAATACCTGTAGTGTTTTTCATGTATTACTTGGGTAATTTCAATTTTTAACAACCCAAGGGGCTACCTCTGTGCATAAAATCACTAGCCTGACCCCCAAAAATGTTAGCCACAGGTGTGAGGCAATGCTGATTGCACATCCCTGGGATAAACTGAAAAAAAAAAATCTAAAAAGACCAGGTTTTTTTACTTGCAAAAGTTGGCGACCACAGGTCGCTTTTAACTCCCAATTTCTGTTTTTAAATCGCATTTCTCAAGTATTTCCATTTAATTTCGACCCTTGCTGGTAGTGTGCATCCTTAGATGTATCATTCTGGTAGTGTGCATCCTTAGATGTATCATCCATGCAAGTTTGGTCAATAAAGGGCTTATAGTTTCTTGGAAATGATACCTACTCCCAAAACTTTAACCTGCTCCAAAAACATTAAGCTAGCTCTGAGGCCATAAAACTTAGACGAGCTCACTTTTGATCTCAGTTTCAGTTTTACCAAAGAAATTAATAGTAGTACAGTGAGACTGAGATCAAATGTAAGCTCATTTAAGCTTTATGGCCCCGGAGCCAGGTCATTCTTTAGCTGAAATTTGAGCATCTGAAATCTTGACCAGTACAATGAAACATACTAGAAGCATCCTCCATGCATCTCTGATTAATGTAGGGCAAAGAAGTTCTTAAAAAGATAACTGCTCCAAAAACTTCAAGCTGGGAAGCTGACGCCGAGGGTATCACATAAGCTCTCCCAAACTTCATTGAGGTGAGCTTAAGAAAAAAGTTCATGTGTGCAAGAAAAAAATATCAAGAATTTTAATTTTCAAGTTCACAATTTTTAGCACTGCTTAAAAGCAATGATGATTTTTTTTTTTATATATATTTGTCTTTCATTATTTTGAGTATCAAGATAAAATTCAACTTGGATCAATTGTAATTCCTGAATTTAATTTTTAACCCCTCTCTAGATGGCAAATAAAGCTTTCCTTCATACCTCATCTTCGTCAGTGAAGACTTGCTGAAGACGAGGGGATTTTCTTGGACTGCTCTCTCTCTTTGGACCAATGTCAGGGGGTTCTTTCTTGACCTTTGGCACATCCACTGAAACAACCAAAGGTGTGAAAGAATCATCTAAATCAATGCACACCTCTGGCTGTCCACCTCCATACTTCTTCTTTGAAGGCATTCTGGCAGCTAAACAACCAAATTAAGAAGGTTTTAATGATTCGGCAATAAATAGCACTTTTCAATTACATAGACATTGGTGAATTTCAGAGTTTTTGAAATTAAAAAAATTCACTGGTCAAGTGATGATTTCCTCCCCAAATAAGTGGATAGAAAAGAGTCTATCATACCTACCACCTTAGTGCATATATATACATGTCAGAGCACAACCTCTTAATTTAAATGTCAGATATATAACTTGAATAAGCTATATACATATATACATGTAGCTTTATGATTTAGCCATCTATTTAAACTTGTGTTAAATGCAGTTTTTCCTCATATATATATATATATATATATATATATATATATATATATATATATATATATATATAAAGCACTAAAAATGACCAACGACACGAACAATAATAATTGTCAAATTTTCGGGACAACCTGTCCCTTCCTCAGGACAAAGAAAAAAGTTAAGAAGTCATAAAAACAAAGGAAATAGAGAAGCAAAAACAACTAGCACTACTACTAAACTACCAAACACTAAATATTTACAAGGTTACATGTTTAATTTGGAGTTTATAAACAGTTGTGAACAAAGAAATCCGGAGCGCTATGAATTGCGTCCGGTCTATCGGGTGTACTCGGTGAAGTGTGATTTACATAATTGAACGAATTAATTATCGCTAATTAATTACGGCCAACAGTAAATCGTACATTGTCTTATTCTCTCAAAATAGCGTAACTCTACATGATAAAAAGAAATTAAAGAAAGATAATATGGAAGGACAATTTTGAAATATGAATTTGGATATATTATAAATTTGGAAATCGGAAAAAAGAAATAAACAAAAATGTGAGCTGTAAATATTTGGGAAGGTTGTTCCAGGATTATTAATACGAATTAACGGTAAAGTTTACGTTATATAGAGAGAATGAACTTGTTTGTTACAATTCGGGATTGGGTCTAGTTCACGTTCATCCTGGTGAAGTCATTAAGTTTGTTAATACCATTAGGGCGGAATGACTTCAGCCTGTGCATCCAGAACTTTTGTTGTTGGTTTTTAGTGCTTTTTATATATATATATATATATATATATATAATATATATATATACTTCATATATTTGAACAATACCTTATTCATAAATTGACATATACTTCATATATTTGAACAGTACCTTATTCATAAACTGACATATTCTTTTTGACAATTTTAGTACAATGTACTATATACAAATTGTACATCAGGTCATTGCCACTATGCTCTTAGAGGAGTATATGCACTTATTTTTTCTGGTAAATTTATTAGCAACTTACTAAGAGTCTTTCGATATATAAATTTATTTATAACTTATATAGTGTTATCACTTGCTTTACTCATATTTCCATGCCCATTCACATCAAAGTTTTTTAAATTAATGTTCATGTAGTGATAATCGCTTCATTTTCTTTTTAACATCGGGTTCCAATATCTTAGCTGCACACATGCATTACATTGGTGTCTGAGTGTACTACCCTGCCATGACTTACTTTCTTAGGGCCCCATGTTATCCAACCTAGTGTACATCCTCACGAGGACCGCTTAAAGAAAATGAAAAATATAGATTTCTTTTTTTTAAATTTTTTTCTACAGCATGGAAAAAAAGGAGAAAAATAAAAGAATGCAAACAGGAAAGAAAACCAGAAGTCTCTGATGAGACTGTAGCTCTACTGGTCTGTACGTATAAAAAAAGAAGCACTTGGATTTAAAACTTTGCAACATGCAACAATAAATAGAATTATGTATCTTAATGTAGTCTACTTCTGTGCCAAGTTATACTGAAATCAAACGAAAACTGTAGGAGGAGTAGCATTTTGAAAGTATTTCACAGAAATTTCTATTTTTAGTAACCATGGCAACATCGTTCATCGAAATCAAAAACCAATGCACTAAATAATGTATCTTAGTGTAGTCTACTTGTGTGCCAAGTTATACAGAAATCAGACCAAAACTGTAGGAGGAGTAGCGTTTTAAAGGAATTTCACAGAAATTTCTATTTTTAGTAACCATGGCAATACCGATCATTGAAATCAAAAACCGATGCACTAAATAATGTATCTTAGTGTAGTCTACTTGTGTGCCAAGTTATACTGAAATCAGACCAAAACTGTAGGAGGAGTAGCGTTTTAAAGGAATTTCACAGAAATTTCTATTTTTAGTAACCATGGCAACATCGTTCATCGAAATCAAAATCCGATGCACTAAATAATGTATCTTAGTGTAGTCTACTTGTGTGCCAAGTTATATTGAAATCAGACCAAAACTGTAGGAGGAGTAGCGTTTTAAAGGAATTTCACAGAAATTTCTATTTTTAGTAACCATGGCAACATCGTTCATTGAAATCAAAAACTGATGCACTAAATTATTTATCTTAGTGTAGTCTACTTGTGTGCCAAGTTATATTGAAATCAGATCAAAACTGTAGGAGGAGTAGCATTTTGAAAAATTGTTTACAGACAGACGGACAGACAGACAGCTAGATAGACAGACAGACAGACGGACGGACGACAGACACAGTACTATCGCATAAGCTCTTCTGGTCTCTGACCAGTAGAGCTAAAAATCAAGGAAGAAAATAAATAAATAAAAAGACCTGATTATTAACATACAAGTAAACAATAACAAGGAAAAGGAAATAAGTAAATCAATTAAAGATCCTGAATAAATTGAATTATTTAGAGAAAGTATCAATCCTGGATTTCATCAATGTAATATTTTCTTGAAACAAAATAATAATTGGGATCAAGATGCCACCTTCAATTTTCTGGTAAAAATATCGCTAAAAAACCCCAAAAGGATCACTTCTTTATAAATGGAGCTTGGACCTATAGGACCAGAATTGGTTTTAATCTATACAAAATACAAAAAGCTTGTTGATTTCATTACAGTCAATGAATTTAAGCTACATACATGTAATAATTTGTTTTCATTTCATTACAATATGTATAGAGATAGGCGGAACCTTTCCCTTGACATTAATTATGAAACATGATTATATTGTCAACACATTTTGAGTTTGTTATCTCAAAATGTAAATAACATTTAATAATTAAATAAATTGCTTTGATTTTTCCTCTTACTTTTCATTCTAAATAATGGTAATCTTTATATTCTTATGTGTTTATTTTACAACCCATCTCCTTTGATATAATAAACATGCCATTAATGTATACAAATTATAAAAATTACATGTAAATCCCAGGAGTAGTAGATACTAAGTTATCCTATACCTTTTGAAAACTTTAGATCTGAAATTTATTGACTCGGTGCATGTATGTATTCTAAATATATATTTATAGTCTATGTGAAAGTTTTTTGGACCACACAGGACATATGGTCCTATGTAATCAATGAACACACAGGATCAAAGCAAATTTTGTCAGACCGAAAAACCTAATGTAAAAAAGTGAAACATGTGAAAATACAGAGTATTAGACTACTAGTTTAACAGCTTTTCTTTAACAATTAAGGGATAACTCCTGCATAATACTGTAGATGGACCATGCAGTTTTAGTCACATTCATTTACGTATTTTGATTTCTGCAATATTTTTTTACTTGTAACAAACATTTAAATGATACCGCATCAAAATAATAATGCTCAAAACTGGACACTGATGCATCGGACATTCTTGTCCGGTGTAAAAAAAGACGCATTGGACCAGAGGCACTGCACATCGGTCAGGTCCGACGTCTTTCGCATAGACTGAAGAACTGGTAGTACAGATGTAATAAAAGAAATGTAATACACTAAATTGATTAAATTCTAAGGAATATATATATATACATATAGAAATCCATCACAGCTCATGCTCATCGCAGGCGAGAATATCTGTATTGAGTAACACAGAGTGAATAATATATATATATCTATATATATATATATATATATATATATATATATATATATATATATATATATATATATATATATATATACACCATAGAAATTCATCGCAGCTCATGCTCATCGCAGGCGAGAATATCTGTATCGAGTAACACAGAGTGAATAATTCTTGTCCTTGAAGAAACTGTGCTATACTGAGGTATAGTTCTGCTTGACTGTGTTTTAGTTACAGTGGAATTTACAGTTTGTTTTTTCTTTAGTGTCTTTTATATAAAAAATGAACAGGCATACAAGATAAATGATTGAAAGAAAATACACAAGACCCTATAAAAAAATAAAATAGTCTATAAAAAGACAAGAATTTAAAAGTGTATGAAAGTGTAGGACCAGGTGGATTCAAACCAATACTCAAAAAATTATCTCCGGTGTATATACCCAGCTGCTATACCGATCTAGCTAATCTGGATTTCAAAATACTGTGTATAAATGCGTTAACTTCATGATAAATATGCAGGCATGAAGCATTGTAGTTCATGTACCTCATAAATTCTCCAAAATTAAATTCATTCCTTATATATATTTACACAATTTTCTAATGATTTGCCAAATATTTTTGTCATTCAACAATCATCTTTGAATAAAAAAAGTTTGCACTATATTTTGAAAGTTTGCACTATATTTTGACTTCGATTAGGTCACTTAATATTCCTACTCATCCCACGGTAGTTCATGAGAACATGAACTTTTCCTAATTTGCAAAGAATCTTCAGGAAAAATATTTGGAAATGTAAATATTGCAATATTTTTTAATAGTAATGTTTATTTAAGTTGTATGTATATAAATAAACCAGGGGTGTGCAATTACCATCGCCCGACGCCCGGGGCTACGAATTTTAGAGGTCGGGCTATCATAAATCTATACTGTGTTAGCCCGTCGGGCTAGTAAATTTAAAACGAAAGTATGCGTATATTTACGTCGACTGAATTGATGTACGAATTAACTTTGTTGTAAAATCATAATCTTAAATTCGTTTTAACCTATATGTATTGTGTGTTGCTATCGCCAGTCGTTTCAGTGACAATTATAGTCGATAAAAATAGGGAGAAGTACCTGACAATAAC